TGGCTTTGGGGGTATCTGACACTAAGTGGTAATAGTTTTTCTTCTACTGATGTGTGAAGAATGCATGTGTCACAAAGCCAAATGTTGTGGTTCAGTATTCATTTGTATATAGAAGTAGCTACTGAAGTTAAATTCTTTCCATCTTTCATAGTAACATATATTCCTGGTGAGCATGAAAACTGCCTTAATTTATGAGATTGTGTTTTGAAATCAATAGGAAGTTCTTAGTTTGCCTGTCAGTGATAACATGTTGCCCTGCCTATCCTATTCCAATTTGACAATCAAACAACCTTGACACACATTTGTCTTACATGATTTATAGTACTTAAAAAAGGGCTGTTAGCATGGGTTACTTTCTTATAGATGGACTAACTGTATTTATTAAGATCTCTCAGGAGAGAGAACATGATACTTAAGTTCTGGGCAATGTATTCTGATGAGTAAATTAACTAATTAGATGGCTTTGTAGTCCTTAAGTAAAACCTGTATTGGTGAGGAAACATGATTTTTTTTTTTCATTTCTTCAACATTTCCCTACATTTGTGAATTTGGTTTAAAGAATCCTAGAGACCATCCCATTATGGGCTAAACTCCCAGCTTTCATCCTCACTTCTTTCTGAACAGTTTTGCTTCTTCATCTTCTGTCTTCTATATTGACATTTTTCTTCACATTGTCTTTGATATGGGCTAGCATTTGCATAGCTAGCTGTTTGAAGACCGTTATTCTATAGTGCAACCAGTGTAGTCTGTCAGAGCCAGCATTATCTTAGCTGGACTGTTGAGCAGCTTTGCCGACTTTGACCCTTGTCTCTTATAGTCTGTTCTCAACATGGCCATCAGTGTAATCCATTTGCACTGTAAATTAGATCATGTCATTCTTCTTCTTGAAACCTTATAATAGCTCCCCCATGAGTAAGAATAAAAACAAGTCTTGAAAAGTGACCCAGAAGACCCTGAACTCTCTGGTTCCCCTGTTAATTCACCAACCTTTTCTCTTCCTGCTCTCCCCTTTGCTTACTCTGTCTACTCTAGTTACACTGGCTTTCTTCTTTACACAGGTCAGCCCTGTGCCTGCCTTACACTTTTTGCCTTACCTTGTGTGTGTGTGTGTATATGTGTGTTTTGTTTTTTGCTAATTGAAGTGACATTGACATAACATGGATTTTGCCATTGTAAAGCTTAATAATTACAATTCAGTGGCATTCAATACATTCCTAATGTGAATTAGGAATTCTATCTAGTTCTGAAAACTTTCATCACCTCCAAATGAGACCAGATACCCATTAAATGCTCACTTCCCATTCTTCCTTCCCTTCTTCCTCTCTCCCCTATTCTCTACCCATGACAACAAATGCTGGATGGATATTGTCTGTAAGTGGAATCACATATACTATATGACCTTTTGTGTCTGACTTCTTCCATGTTAGCATAATGTTTTTAAGATTCCTTTATGATATAACTTTAATCAGTAATATTATTCTTTTCATCACTGAATGATATTTCATGTGTGGACACTCTTGTTCATCCCTTGGTGGGCATTTGGGTTGTTTGTACCTTTTGACTATTGTGAAGATGTAGCTATGAGCATTCATATGCAAGTATTGGTTTGTATACATGTTTTCAGTTGTTTAAGATTACATGTAGGAGGGGCCAGCGCCATGGTTAATCTTCCACCTGCGGCACTAGCATCCCATATGGGCACCAGTTCTAGTCCCGGATGCTCCTCTTCCAATCCAGCTCTCTGCTGTGGCCTGGGAAAGCAGTAGAAGATGGTCCACATCCTTTGTCCCCTGCACCCGTGTGGGAGACCAGGAAGAAGCTCCTGGCTTCGGATCGGTGCAGCTCCAGCCATTGCGGCCATTGGGGAGTGAACCAATGGATGGAAGACCTTTCTCTGTTTCTGCCTCTCACTGTCTGTAACTCTACCTCTCAAATAAATAAATAAAATCTTAAAATAAAAATAAAAAATAAGATTACAATTAGGAGTCAAAATGCTGACTCATATAGTATTTCTACGTTTAAATTTTTCTCAAAAGATTTATTTATTTATTTGAAAGGCAGAGTTACAGAGGCAGAGAGAGAGGGATTTTTCATCCTCTGGTTCACTCTCCAAATGGCTGCAATGGCCTGTGCTGGGCCAATCCGAAGCCAGACGCCTGGAGCTTCTTCCCACGTGGTTGCAGGGGCCCAAGGAATTGGGCCATCTTCTACTGATGTCCCAGGCCATAGCAGGGAGCTGGATTTGAAGAGGAGCAGCTGGGACTCTAACCGGTGCCTATCTGACAGGCAGCAGCTTTATCTACCATGCCACGGTGCTGCCCCCACTGTTTAACTTTTTGAGGAAACAATAAACTTTTCCATAATGGCTGAACCATTTTATATTCTCACTAGCAATTCCATCCTCATCTCCTTCAAGTTTTTGCTCAGACTTGACCTTCTTGCTCCTATCCTTCCTGAGTATCCATTTAATCTTTAAACCTCTCTCCCACCTCACTTCATTAGCATATTTTCCTTCTGGCATATTTCCCTAATGCAATATCTTCTATAGGCAATGTATAATTTTTTTTTTTTATATTCACAGCTTCCTACACATCAAAACTCTACTCCTGTTCTTCCGTTAGTCATTTGGCCTGCTTGATTTAGCAGTCCACCAGGCAGCTATCATTGCAAGAGTATGTGTTCCGAGAAAAGTAAATCTTAGATATTAACTAAACTTCGTGACATGCTGGTCAGTGAACTCTGCTTTATCATCTGCTGAATAGCTGAGATGCAGCCTTTTGATTTGAAATTATTTTGTTGGTTGAGTTTCTTTCAAAGGTTGCTGAGAGCATATTTTATACTTTAAACATGCTAATTGAGTTTATTTTTCAACCTAACAACATTAACTTAAAATGTAATTAATGTGGATGTCTGTATATTAAGTGAAATGCCACTCTAAAATATATTTTTATTAAGAATGGTCAAGGGAGTCCCTTTTGCCTGTGACACAACTGGAATTAAGGACATGACTCCCTGAGCCTCTCTTTATTAAGGGAAACAGCAACAGATGCTTTTTTGAAGAGATTTTATTCACAGCTAACTCCATAGAACACTAAAATGAGGGTATAATCCCATTACATATGGGGAGTCCAGACTGGCTTCAAGGCTAAAGTGTTCTACTGCCTCCCTACACCCACCTGCTATGATTGGAGTAGCAGCTTCAGGATTAGCTTTCAGTTTCACTTATAACCTCTATTTAAATAGGTTTCCTGGCATGAATGTCTTCATTTTTAAAAGTTCAACATTTAATTTTCTCATGATTTTCAGTTAGATTTTTATCATAATCTTTTCCATTTTTTTAGGCTCACGTTTAAGCAGCAATTAAGACCATTATCTTCCCCAAAACATTCATTGCTCTTTTTACCAATTTGCTGAGGCTGTGGATATTCTCGGTAGGTTTTAACATAAGAGAGATGAAAGTTTAGTTGTGGCGTTAAACTGTTGTTTCTGTCTGATAAACCCATTGTCAAAATAAGGCATAAAGAAAAGGGCTCAGAATTGATAGTTTAAAAAAAAAGTTAAATAAGATTGCCCACATACTGAAAGCAGAGAGCAGGTCCAAGAACTGACTGTGCCTCCCCCAGGGGAAATGTGGCCTAGATGATAGTTTGTTTCCTGAATAACAAGAGAAGAAGCAGGAATTAGAGGGCTTACTCCTTCAAGGATTTGGTTTTTGTTGATCTACTAACAAGACTCCCCTCATCCCACTTACAGAATTAGTACTTAATAAGAGAAAGGAGAGAACTATCTTTATACTCTTTTAAAAGTTCACTCTGTGGTGCCTATTTCATACTGCTTGACTCTCTAAGTTTTAAAAAAAGTTGTGGCAGAAGAGGTGATTAATTGTAGTCAGAATTAATCTCTTTATTCTCTTCATTCCTATAGAATCCTCATAATTTTCCCATATAATCTGTTTGTGCCTATTTCCTGCCAGCTAGAAAGCTCTCTGCAGACATAGGTTGATTGATAATCCTCACACTCTCCCATGGTACCTTGCATGTGGTAGATAGACCCTCACTAGGACTGAGATTAAAGAACATGCCAGGGGCCATGGGAATCCACTATAATCAGAGAGGCTGTAATCTTCTATATCATAAGGGATGACAAAATGTCCTTAAATTCTAGTTACTGCGATTCTGCTGTATGTATACATACACTTGTACTTCTCTTGTCTGTAGGACACACTCAAGTTTTAGCTGTTTGAGTTTAGATGATATGAGTTACAGGAAACATGAAACGTGATGCACTGTGATTGTTTTCCTTGAGTGATCTTTCTTCAGCAGAAGCAGACTTTGAGATGATTTGTTGCAAAGTAGCCTTATACTAATAGGTAGAAACATAAATGGCTATGAGAACCAGATGTTTTGTCTGGGCCTGTGTTCAAAAATAGAGTTTCCATGTTGGCATATATCATTTTTCCTCTTGTTTACCCACACTGATTAAAGGGTATTTAACTAGTGGTGTTCACAATTGCTGTGTGCAGTGCCCATTTGCATGCTCTTGTACACAACATAATATTTCTGTTGGCAGTTTAAGATTATTACTTCAGAAATTGTCACATTGAAAATGCAGGATTGAGCAATATTTATTTTTATTTAAAATGGCTAGGGGGATTTGCTAGACAATACGCAGTTTCCTGACATTGGAAGCAGACTTTAGAGAGTCTCTTAATTTTCAAAGAGGTATTTGTATTGCACATACATCTTAACTTATTATCGTAGGATTTTATTTGCTTTAATTTAGAAAATTCCAGGCTTCCTTCATTTTACCTTTACAAGACACTAAAACTCTTTTCCTTTGGAAATATACAAAAGATACTATTTGTGGTTCTGATCCCTGACGGATTTGGTTTTGTTTTACAAACTACTTTAAATGAAGGGAGAGAATTGATGATATAGTTGTAATTTCATTCTGTTTTAATACTGTATAGTCTAACATATTGTGGCTCATTTTTCCCACAGGTTCACATCCAGCTTTCAGAGTGGCACCGTGCAATTTTCTTTCCACAGGCCTGGCTTGCATATATGAATCGAGCTTATCATGCCATTTTACAGGTAAGGAAACCATAGGGTGGTTTGCCTCAGAGGAGTGTTTTTTTCCTTATCTGAGATTTTACTGCAAATGCGTATTTAATATAAAAATACTTGAAAAAAAAAACCATCAAATGAAATTATTTTTTTTTCTCATAAAAGAGTGTGAGAGGGGCTGGTGTTGTGGCACAGCAGGTTAAGCTAGTGCTTGCAACACCAGAATCCCATGTTGGAGTGCTGGTTTGCGTCCCAGCTACCCTGCTTCCAATCTAGTTCCCTGGTAATGCAACTGGGATACCAGTGGAAGATTGCCAAAGTACCTGGGCACCTGCCACCTGTGTGGGAGACTTGTGTGGAGTTCCAGACCCATGACTTGTACCTGGCCCAGACCTGACATATGGCTATTGTGGTCATTTGGAGAGTGAACCAAAAGATAGATAATATATCTCTCCATTTCTCTTTGTCACTTGGCCTTTCAAATAGATAAATAAGCCATTAAAAATAAGTTTGAGGCTTGCATATATAGCTACACTTAAAAATTTAGGTGTTAGGACCTCCAAACCTATGTGTTCCACACAGAGCTCCCTCCTGATTACCCACACCCTTGGCCCCACTGCCTTCACATTGTCCTTGCTTGGCAATTCTAGCACCTGTACTTGAGAGCTCATTGTCTTCTTTATATCTTCGCTCTCTCGAGCTGGACTTATATCTCCAGCCTTGTCTTCTAACACTTCTCCCAGGTGCTTATGCTTCAGTCTTACTGAATTTCTTCAATTTCCCAAATTTCACATACCTTCCCTTGCTTCTGGGCTTTAGTGCACACTGTTCTTTTTGCTTCCAATCATGCCATTCCCTGTTTGCCCACCTAATTTCAGCATGTTGTTGGGATCAGTTTACCTGGAAAGGCATCATATGCTTTCCTCCTTTCCCCACTGCCCTTCATACCTACTTCCCTTTACAAAGCCCTTATCATGTTCGTTTTGTCTGGGATCTCTAGTAGTCTCTGGTCCTTAAGGGCAGGAGCTGTGTTTCTGTCTGTGTTGTTTCTCTGCCAGTGGCTTGAGTGTCTAAAACATGATGGGTGCTCACTAAATAAGTGACATATGCTGAACTTGACATAATTTAACCCAATAATATTATATAATTTATGATTTAAAATTTTAAGTTAGAAAATTTAAACTTTAAAAATTGAAAAAAAATTAATCAGGTAATATATGAATAGTTAACAATATTAGGAAATGACTAGCTCAGTCCTCTTCCCTAGCTTAAAATTCATTGTTAAGGATGCAAAAAAAAAAAAAAAAAATCGCATGGTATTGAAGTAATGCATGGCCCAGAATAAGATATTCATTTTGTCTCAGAAAATGTAGTATATATATGGTTAAAGAGAAGGCTGTGTTATAAAATGAGATGAGGAGTAACACTGAGATTAAGATGAGGTGGGAGGAATGACTGAGCATTTGGACATTGGTGTTTTCTTCTCAAGTTCAAATCTCGCTGCACTGTGTCTTATTGAGCCTACAATTTATAAAGCATAGATCTAAAGATAGATCTTTAGAACTTCTGATTAATTAGACCTGAGAGGGCGAACAGAAACCTTGTATAACAAGCTTCCAAGTAAATTTGATACAGGCCACACTTTGAAAAACACCATTTAGTTTATCTATTAATTAATTAATTTATTTATTTTTCAGGTTTAATATTTTTTTTAACTTTTATTTAATGAATATAAATTTCCAAAGTACGACTCATGGGTTACAACGGCTTCCCCCCCATACCGTCCCTCCCACCCACAACCCTCCCCTTTCCCACTCCCTCTCCCCTTCCATTCACATCAAGATTCATTTTCGATTATCTTAATATACAGAAGATCAGCTTAGTATACATTAAGTAAGGATTTCAACAGTTTGCTCCCACACAGAAACATAAAGTGAAAAATAATAGATGATTTTCTTTAAATGATGATGAAATCAGATCAGACCTATTGTCATGTTTAATCCCAGTGAGAGTCAAGTTGGGAATTGATAATTTCTTTCTTTCTTTTTTTTTTTTTTTTTTTACAGAAGATCAGTTTAGTATGCATTAAGTAAAGCTTTCAACAGTTTGCACCCCCATAGAAACACAAAGTGAAATATATTGTTTGAGTACTCGTTATAGCATTAAATCTCAATGCACATCACATTAAGGACAGAGATCCTACATGAGGAGTAAGTGCACAGTGACTCCTGTTGTTGACTACCAATTGACACTCCTGTCTATGGCATCAGTAATCTCCCTATGCTCCAGTCATGAGTTTCCAAGGCTATGGAAGCCCTCTGAGTTCTCTGACTCTTATCTTGTTTAGACAAGGTCATAGTCAAAGTGGAGGTTCTCTCCTCCCTTCAGAGAAAGGTACCTCCTTCTTTGAAGACCTGTTCTTTCCACTGGGATCTCACTCACAGAGATCTTTCATTTAGATTTTTTTTTTTTCCAGAGTGTCTTGGCTTTCCATGCCTGAAATACTCTCATGGGCTTTTCAGCCATACCCGAATGCCTTAAGGGCTGATTCTGAGGCCAGAGTGCTATTTAGGACATCTGCCATTCTATGAGTCTGCTGAGTATCTCACTTCCCATGTTGGATCACTCTCCCCTTTATTTTATCAGTTAGTGTTAGCAGGTACTAGACTTGTTTATGTGCTCTCTTTGACTCTTAGTCCTTTCATTATGATCAATTGTGAACTGAAATTGATCACTTGGACTAGTGAGATGGCATTGGTACATGCCACCTTGATGGGATTGAATTGGAATCCCCTGGTATGTTTCTAACTCTACCATTTGGGGCAAGTCAGCTTGAGCATGTCCCAAATTGTACATCTCTTCCCTCTCTTATTCCCACTCTTATGTTTAACAGGGATCACATTTCAGTTAATTTTCAACACTAAGAGTAACTGTGTATTAATTACAGAATTAAACCAGTCATACTAAGTAGAACAGACAAAAAAACTACTAAGAGGGATAATAAATACCATATGTTCTCCCTGATCGGTGACAACTGACTGAACACCAAAGTTTATCTATTAATTTATTTTTAAAGCAGCTTTTCTTATGTTTTAAAAAATTTATTTATTTGAGAGGTAGAGAGAGAGAGAGAGAGAGAGAGAGAGGTCCCATCTACTGATTTCTTCTTCAAGCATGAGTGGCTGGGGCTGCTCTAGGCTGAAGCTGAGAGTCATGAAGTCAATTCAGATCTTCCAAGTAGATGGCAGGAACCCAACTTTTAAACCTTTCGCAGGAAGCCTGCCTGAATCAGGAGCCCAAGTCGGGAGTCAATCCCAACATTCCCACATAAGATGAGGCTCTGTCCTAAAAAGCATCTTAACCAATATGACAAAAACAACACAATTTTAGGTGGTTTTGCAAACTGCACTGGAATCTGGATTTGAAAGATGTGCCTTTGGAACCTTTGTTTCCTTTTCCTCACTGTTTCTTACTTTTTTTTATCTTCAGCACCTGCTGGGCACCCAGTATGTTTTGAGTAGGGGCATCAGTGAACGAATGAATGACTCATGTCTCTACATGCTTTCTTACCATCCTTAGCCAATTTGTTTTTGTTCGAGAGGAGTGATATTGCACTCACATCAATTTTTCCCTGACCAGGGAAATTTTTACTGACCAGGGGCTCAGTGTGTAAGACATAAAGGGGGGCCGGCGCCGTGGCTCACAAGGCTAATCCTCTGCCTTGCGGCGCCAGCACACCGAGTTCTAGTCCCGGTCGGGGCGCCGGATTCTGTCCCGGTTGCCCCTCTTCCAGGCCAGCTCTCTGCTGTGGCCAGGGAATGCAGTGGAGGATGGCCCAAGTACTTGGGCCCTGCACCCCATGGGAGACGAGGATAAGAACCTGGCTCCTGCCATCAGATCAGCGCAGTGCGCCGGCCGCGGCACGCCAGCCGCGGCGGCCATTGGAGGGTAAACCAACGGCAAAGGAAGACCTTTCTCTCTGTTTCTCTCTCTCACGGTCCACCCTGCCTGGCAAAAAAAAAAAAAAAAAGACATAAAGGGGAGTAAAGCATTCCTGCCTCCTAGTCAACTACCAGTTGGAGGAGGAAAGCTAACATGTCCACTAGCGATTTCAATGTAAAATCTGTGATGCTGTAATAAAGAATGCACAAAATGCTATGTGTATCTGGAGAAGGAAAGTTCCTCTTTCTGCAGAATGAACTGATAATTTTATTTAGCTGTTAGTTTAAGAAAAGCTAAATTGAATAGGAATATGGTGTAATTCTTGCAGATGACTTGCAATTGATTTTTACAAAAAGCTTTGTGATTGTTTTACATAATAAGAGCAACCATTTATTGAATAACTAGTGTGTATTCAACACTTAATATATATTATTTCAATTGATCTGTACAGAAATCCTTTGAAGTGGGTGTTATTAACCCTGTGTGTAATGGGATTATAGACTGGAAACAAAGTTAGGTAGGAAAAGACAAATGACTCAAAACCTAACAGCCAGCAAATGGAAGAACTGGAATTTAACCCATTATTTGGTTCCAGAGCCCCAGCTTTTTCCACTGCATAATGTGCTTTGCCTAACACCATCATTAAATAATACAAATTGGTTTAATATTTTAAAAGACAAATCTATTTATAGAAAGCCTGCTATTTTTAGTAATGTAGGTTGATTATTCTGCCTTTACTATTTCAGTAATGATGTGTACCTTTGTTCATTGTTTAAATCCTTTTGCTTTGGATTTCTAGTAAGTTCAGTATCATTGAGAGTTGGTGACAAAAGAAATGAAACTGAGATCTTAGACTGTCGTAAGACAATTTTTAGTATAAGCTACAACAATGCCATCTACTCTATCAATTGTTACTTGAAACTACACTGATGTGTTTTAACTGTTAACAAGTTTTGAATATGAGTACATACACTTAAATAGAATTTATGGCATCTTGAAAGTACGGAAGCAATAGCCAGATTCCTTGTCTATGTCAAGAATTTCTGTCCTGGAAGATATTTCTTCTGTATGGAAATTGTAGCTACTTCCATCTGGTGCAAGACATATTTTGTAGCATTAAGCTAGAGGATCATAAGGAAGAGCCATGTTTTATTCAGTTAAGCTTACAAGGAGATATGCTAAAAGGTATATTCTACAATACTTCCTGGATGCTGATTAGGATGTGACTAAATGTGAAATCTGAACACTAGTAGTGGCTTCTGCTTAGGAGTCTGCTTCCAGCCTTATCTAATTTTTGAATTATAAGAATAAAAAGTGGTTGACGTGGGAAGGTAGTTGGATTTCTTCCTGTTGATAGGAAAAATGCAGATAGCAGCTGATTGCTTGTACAGAGACCTTTTGGTAACAAGCCCTGTGTAGTCTGTTTTTCCTTGCTGCTGTCCTGAGATGACAAGGAGTTTAGGTTCTCCATTATTTGTGACAAGGGCTCTTTGGTGTTAAGAATATGACCTCTAACAGGAGACAGATATGAAAGCAGGTTGACTGTAAGTACTTGTTTCCTGACTTGTTCAACAAACTGTAAAACAATTTGAAATCAAAACCAGGGTTAGAAACAATGCCTCTGATAAATTACTTTTAACTTTTCTAAAGTTTTTGTCGTTTTGTTTATAACATATATTGAGTAGTTAATACTACTCAGTATGATCAGCAGGTTTTTGGTAATGTGAGCTAGTAATAAAAATTAAGAGGGATAGTCAGATTAAGAATTGGATTCATAATGGCCAGCATTGTGGTATAGCAGGTAGAACCACTGCCTGTGACTCCTGCATCTCATATGGGTACCAGTTGGAGTCCTGGCTGTTCTACTTCTGATCCAACACTCTGCTAATGGTCTGGGAAAACATGGGAGACCTTGAAGAAGCTCCTGACTCCTAGCTTTGGCCTGGTCCAACACTGGCCATTGTGACCATCTAGAGAGGGAACTAGTAGGTAAAAGATTCTCTCTCTGTCTCTCCTTCTCTCTCTCTGTAACTCTGACTTTCGAATAAATCAATAAATCTTAGAAACAAATAATTGGAATATACAGACAATCCAAAAATCAATTCTGGTGATCATTTTAGCCTTTTCTAACCCAAAAAGTATTTTTTTCCCTTAACCAGAAAAATTCCTGAGTTGAATGCCATTGGATCTGTTAACAATAGGTAAAGAATTAGAAGGCAGAGTGATCTGAATAAACAGCCTGGCATGGGGTTAAGGGTATGTTCTAGAAGGGGGGGGGGGGGAACAGAGACTTTGAGAAAGAAAAAGTATGAAATTTACTTGGTCACAGTAGAAATGACTATACTGGTTTATGACTGCAGAGGAGATCAGAAAAGCCAGTCTTCAGAAGCAGCACATATTCTAGCTTTCTTATATTTTGGTTTATTTTTAAACAAATAAGAAGTGAAAGGCAATAACTAGCAGAGTCAGGTAATAAGATAACGTTTTCTATTTTACTTTGTCTGCCCTCCTAGGATACCAACATGAATATTAAATAATAATATCTTATTTAATCATCTCTGATACCTTGCTGTAAAAGACAAAGGGGAGAATGACAGGACCAGGATTCTTTCTTAGCAACTATGGAGATGGGGAATGGATCTGAGCAAAGTAAACGGACTATGGAGGATCAAAGTAAAGCATCCATCCCACCTCAAAATACCTGAATGCATGAGCCCCAGGGCACTCACTGCATGCCAGAAGTTGTACTGCATATGAAGGTTTTGTAGATAAACAAAACAGTTGTTTCCCTCAGTGAGCCCACAGGCTGTGACTGAAAGTATATGAGAGAAATATAAGGGCTGGCGCCATGACTCACTTGGTTAATCCTCTGCCTGGGCACCGGCATCCCACATGGGTGCCGGGTTCTAGTCCCGGTTGTTCCTCTTCCAGTCCAGCTCTCTGCTGTGGCCTGGGAAGGCAGTGGAGGATGGCCCAGGTGCTTGGGCCCCAGTACCCGCATGAGAGATCAGGAAGAAGCTCCTGGCTCCTGGCTTAGGATCGGCACAGTTCCGACCGTAGCAGCCATTTGGGGTTGAACCAACGGAAGGAAGACCTTTCTCTCTGTCTCTCTCTCTCACTGTCTAACTCTATCTGCCAAATAAAAAAAAGAAATATAAGGACATCTAACTTTACAGTCTGGATATTACATTTTTGGGAAACATTTATTCCATAAGTTTATACATATCAAAACTAGAGATTTATGTATATTCATGAAAGATGATTTTACAAGAAGATAGTAAGATTTATTTTATTTATTTGAAATGCAGAGTGACATAGAGAAAGTGAGAAATAGATCTTCCATCCATTAGTTCACTCTCCAAATTGCTCCAATGGTTGGGCTGGGCCCGACCAAAGCCAGGAGCCTATTATACCATCTAGGTGTCCCGTTTGGGTAGCAGGGGGCTGAGTACTTGCACCATTTTCTGCTGCCTTCCTAGCCACATTAGCAGGAGTTGGATCATAAGCAGAGCAGCCAAGACTCGAACTTGAGCTTCCATATGGGATGCTGGCCAGTGTTGCAGGCAGTGGCCTTAACCTGCTGTCATAACACCATCCCCTTAATGTGAAGTGCTAATACCATAAAATAGTTACTAGCTATATTTTACAAATTAGGAAACTGAAACTTACAGAGGTGGAGTACCTTTGATATCCAGAAAAGAAGCTCTTGAACTAAATTTGCCAAACATATAGCTTCTCCAACTTGTATCTCTTTGGTGAACATAAAAATACCTGAGCATTGTTGTGATTGTTTCTCATCATACATCCACTATCAGAATATAAAATCCTGTCAAGGACATGTAAGACCAATTAAGAAAGAATACACATGTATTTCCCAAGAAATTATAAGCCATTGGTCTTGCATGCTGATTTGTACTCTGTTCTTTGCAGGGGAGAATTGCAGAGCTGGAGTTGCAGTTGAAACATGGAAAAGAAGGAGCTGAGGAGGTGCAGTACAAGACAAGCACAGCCTGGCTCTGGTATGGGCATGGCATTCTGGTGCTCGTTATTTGTCATGGAAAGTGAGATAGGAGGGAAAGACAAGCACTTTATAGTATTCTATATGGGTTGTTTTAACTTCTGTGTGAACCTGAAAGAGAAACAATGGAAGATGTGAAAGGTGTATTTTCCACCCACTCCCTAGGTAGACTAACAGAGCTTTATTTCTCAATCACATATATAAACATAGCTCAGTGTTTATGTGTTGTGAAGGTTTTCCAAAGCAGTGTGGAAATGGCTTGTTTTTCCTCTGCCTTCCCCCTGCCCCAACCCCTGTAACTGATTATTTGTGTGCTTTTTGAATGAAAAATTGTTTTCCCATTCAATTCACTGCCTTCTGACCTCACATTTAGTCAAGGACTATTCTCTCCCTCCTTTGCTTTCCCTTTCCCCAAGACATCTTCATTATTAGGAGCAACTTTACCATGTCAGGGCTTTAATTTCTATGGCAGCCTCTCTCTAGGGAGTTTCCACTGTATTATCTAGAAACGTGTTAGTGCTAGCACATTAAAAGCAACTTAAATGATTACATGAGTTGGGAAGAATACCTAGTCACATTATTATCACAGCAGCTGAAATGTAAGTAAAAGTACCCAAAATCTAAACAACTTTGTCTACAGCTCTAGGTTACTTTAATCCTAAAATCTGTCCAAAGGTTACTTGATTTTAGATTTTTATTTACTGACAGTGGACACATGTAGAAAAGCTGAACTGTGTTTATATGTGTGTTTAATTAATTCTACCCCAAACTATATTCTAAGCTTTAAAAAATAGCATTACAGTTTATGGGCTGGCGCCGCGGCTCACTAGGCTAATCCTCCGCCTGGCGGCACCGGCAAACCGGGTTCTAGTCCCGGTTGGGGCGCCGCATTCTGTCCCGGTTGCCCCTCTTCCAGGCCAGCTCTCTGCTGTGGCCAGGGAGTGCAGTGGAGGAAGGCCCAGATGCTTGGGCCCTGCACCCCATGGGAGACCAGGAAAAAGCACCTGGCTCCTGGCTCCTGCCATCGGATCAGCGCGGTGCGCCGGCCGCGGCGGCCATTGGAGGGTGAACCAACGGCAAAGGAAGACCTTTCTCTCTGTCTCTCTCTCTCACTTTCCACTCTGCCTGTTTAAAAAAAAAAAAAAAAAAAAAAAAAAAAAAAAAAAAAAAAAAAAAAGTTTCAAAAAAAAATAGCATTACAGTTTATGGCTGGCGCGCGGCCTCACTAGGCTATCTCGCCTGCGCACCGCAACGGGTCTAGTCCAGTAGGGGCCCGCATTTGTTCCCGGTTGCCCCTCTTCAGGCCAGCTCTTTGCTGTGGTCCAGGGAGTGCAGTGGAGGAAAGGCCCAGATGCTTGGTCCCTGCCACCCCATGGGAGACCCAGAAAAAAGCACCCTGGCTCCTGGCTCCTGCCCATCGAGATCAGCCGCGGTGCGCCGGCCGCGGGCGGCCCATTGAAGGGTGAACCAACGCCAAAGAGAGGACCTTTCTCTCTGTCTCTCTCTCTCACTTCCCACTCTGCCGTGTGAAAAAAAAAAAAAAAAAAAAAAAAAAAAAAAAAAAAAAAAAAAAAAAGTTTCAAAAAAAAATAGCATTACAGTTTAAAATTTTATAATTATTGGATTTAAGACTAGAGATTAAGAATTTGGGTCTTACTTCCTATTTGTCATTATCTTTGCCCCTTATTTCAGTTTTATACTTTGAAAGTGATAATTTGATGAAAGTGATATATTTTCTACACTCTCCAAAATATATGGAGAGACCTATGGATGTTTTCTTGGGTGAAACTCATGGAATGTACATGTATAAGAGTGTGCAGGAACTAGGTCCCTAATTCACTTAAGAATAATTCAGAACTGGAAAATTCAATTTAACTTGCACTACTGATAAACTATATCCAAGGAAATGTTTGAACATCATCACTTAATTGCAGCTGTCTCAGATCCAAATAAAGCTATCCCTTTATTGATTACTTTAGAAAGTATTTATTTTCTGTTATGTGTCAGATGCAGCAGTAAGTAAAGTTCTAGTTTTGTCCTCCATAAGCTTATACTTGACTGAATGGGAATAGATAATCAAATAAATGGAATGGATTTTGATTAGCAGATAAAAAATAAAGTAAGATTAAGGAATCGAGAGTAGTTGATGCTGGGAGGATGATCAGGAAGAGCTTCTTTTTATAGTATAGCATTGGAAGGAGAACTGAAGGAATGGAGTGAGTGAAGTTGATACCTGGGGAAGAGCATTCCAGGAAGAAGGAACAGCAAATTGAAAGGCCCTGGGAGAATAGCTGAAAGGGGAACTGGTGTGCTATGGAGAGAGCAAAGAAGTCGAGGAGATTGGATTGTGGAGAAACTTTGTAGGCATGTGGAGGACTTTGACTCTGAGGGAGATGGAGAAACATTGGAGGATTTGAAACAGAGGCTCTGACTCATGATTTATAAGGATCATTCCAGTTTTGGTGTTAAAAATATTCCCTGGGGAACATAATTAGGATTCCACTGGCAGTAATTCAGACAAGAGATGATAGTGTTTTGGATTACAGGGTTAACAATGGAAATATTTAAAAATAAATAGATTTTTAATCTATTCTGAAGGTGGATTCTATAAGTTTTAAAGGATAATAATTTAAATGAAGGATATGAGAGAGAGATGGAAGTCTAGGATAATTCCAAGATTTTTAACTCTTAATAACTAAATGTATGGGATTCCCATTTGCTGAGATGGGGAAGATTGTAGGAAAGCACGGCTGTGTAAGTTGGAATCAGATTTTAGTACTTGCTAGGCCTAACGTGCCTAAATAGACCTCCAGCTGGAGATGGCAAGTAGATTGTTGACTATAGGAGTCTGCAGTTATTGGGACAGCTCAAGGCTAGAGCGAAAATTTCTGAATCATCAGTATATCGCTGGCATTTAAAATCATCATACTGCATGAAAGCATGTAGAAAGGATGGAGAAAATTTCAAAGTATTGCGCAGTGGAACACCTCAACATGTAGAGAAGGGGAAGGTGAACAGGAAACCTATAAAGCTAAAAATTGGTGATCAGTGATGTAGGAAGAGAACCGAGACTGGGATCTTAAAAGCCAAGGAAAGAAAATGTTCTAAGAAATGAGGGATCTGCCGCGAGGCTGCAAAGGATAGGGAATAGGAATTAAGAATTAAATTTAGTCCCTTTAAAGTCATTGGTATTCATGATAAAAGCTGTTTTGGAATAAGTGTGGGGACAAAAGCCAGATTATAGGAGGGGCTAGAGAAAGTAGAGCATGAACTAGAGTCATCAAGCATAGGTAATAATCTTTTAAAGTTGTGTTGCATAACAGGCAGACACGTGGCAGCAGCAGGAGAGCTTTTTCTTTTTTCGAGAGGATAGCTAATGGTATTTTCTCTTGTTAAGGGACATAATATAAGTAGAGTAGGAAAAAATTGGTGATGTATTTTTCTTTTGGCTCTAGTGTGATTATATATTCAAAGTTTGGAATTTTGTTGTATATACACACACAGTGACTAGTCCATATATGCAATCTGGAGGTCGCAAATTGATGTTTTGGTGAGCACTATGTTAAAAAGAGAACTAGAGTATGTCTTATTCAGTTTGGGTTGCTACAGGAGAAATACTGTAAACAGAATGCTTCACATAACAGAAATTTATTTCCCACAGTCTGGGGCCTGGGGATCCAAGATGAAGTAGCTGGTATTTCTGGTGTCTGATGAATCCCACTTCCTGATTTGCAAGTGGTCATCTTCTTATATTCTCAAGTTGGCAGACAGCAAAGAGAGAGGAAGCAAGCTCTCTTCTATTTCTTCTTTATAAGGGCAATGACCTCATTTATGAGGGCTCTACTGTCATGATCTACTTACCTTTGAAAGGCCCAACCTCCCATTACTATCTTATAGGGGATTAGAATTTGAATATATCAGTTATTTGAGGTGATACCATTACGTACTGCCTGCACCTTCCTCCTCAGTTAAACTCACGTCCTTTCCAACTTCTGCTAAGTGACCTATGGAATAGGAAGATGAAATTCTCTTAGAAGTAAAACCTTTACATTTTGCCTTACATTAAAGTGCTATATATATACAATATTAAGGTGTGAGGTTCTTATTAATTGACAAATAAGAAAAAAAGGTTCTTATTAATTGACAAATAAGAAAAAAAGTTGAGTTCTCACTTTAAGCTCTTACCTTTTTTCTACCTTCATTTAGGGTTAGAGACATGCTGACTGATGAGATCACCAAGACGGCTGCAAAGTAAGACCCATTTATTTTTCTACCAAAATTTTTTCATAAGTGTTTTTCTCCCCTTGATAGATGTATAGTTTCTTCCTTTAGGGAACTTTATAATGTTAAGGATTATCAAGTACTTTTCAATTATTTTTTAAAAATGACTCTATATCCTTTCTTACATTATGCTCATTTTTTGCTACATGAGTTTTTGTGAAAGTAACAAAAGCAGTGGACAAACACACGTGACTTCCACATTAATAGTCACTGAGGTCGAATTCTTGTGCTTTGCGTAAGATTGTAACTTAGTTCAAGGGAAAACAAAAGAGAAAGAAATCCTTGCTAAAGTGAGTTATGTGGGTTCTACAAATTATTAAATCTCAACTGCAAAGCGACAAGGATATCAAAGTAGTATTTTTTTTCATGTCCTTTGTATTATGGTTCCGGTGTATGTATGTATTTATTTATTTATTTATTTAACTTTTATTTAATGAATATAAATTTCCAAAGTACGATTTATGGATTACAATGGCTTCCCCCACATACCGTCCCTCCCACCCACAACCCTCCCCTTTCCCACTCCCTCTCCCCTTCCATTCACATCAAGATTCATTTTCGATTATCTTAATATACAGAAGATCAGCTTAGTATACATTAAGTAAGGATTTCAACAGTTTGCTCCCACACAGAAACATAAAGTGAAAAATAATAGATGATTTTCTTTAAATGATGATGAAATCAGATCAGACCTATTGTCATGTTTAATCCCAGTGAGAGTCAAGTTGGGAATTGATAATTTCTTTCTTTCTTTCTTTCTTTTTTTTTTTTTTTTTTACAGAAGATCAGTTTAGTATGCATTAAGTAAAGCTTTCAACAGTTTGCACCCCCATAGAAACACAAAGTGAAATATATTGTTTGAGTACTTGTTATAGCATTAAATCTCAATGCACAGCACATTTTGACAGGCAGAGTAGCCAGTGAGAGAGACAGAGAGAAAGGTCTTCCTTTGCCTTTGGTTCACCCTCCAATGGCCGCCACGCTGCGGCCGGCGCACCGTGCTGATCCAATGGCAGGAGCCAAGTACTTATCCTGGTCTCCCATGGGGTGCAGGGCCCAAGTACTTGGGCCATCCTCCAATGCACTCCCCGGCCATAGCAGAGAGCTGGCCTGGAAGAGGGGCAACCGGGACAGAATCTGGCGCCCCGACTAGGACTAGAACCGGTGTGCCAGCACCGCAAGGTGGAGGATTAGCCTAGTGAGCCGCGGCGCTGGCCTCCAGTGTATTTAAAACTCGAACTTTTAGGGGCTGGATTTGTGGCACAGCAGGTAAAGCCTCTGCCTGCGCCAGCATCTCATATGGGCACTGGTTCAAGTCCCATCTGCTCCAATTCTTATCCATCTCTCTTCTAATGACCTGGAAAAAGCAGCAGAAGAGCTGCTTGGGTTTGGCCTGGCCAAGCCCTGGCTGGTGCAGCATCTGGGGAGTTAACAGTGGATGGAATCTCTCTCTCTCTCTCTCTCTCTCTCTCTCTCTGTAACTCTTTCAACTAAACAAATCTTTAAAAAATAAATAAAACTTGACCTTTTAAATACTAAAAGCTAGTGCAAAGCCCAAGTAGAAAGGCAATTTCAGTCATATCCTTAAGGCTATTTTAGCAAAAATTACTTTAGTGCTACTGCCTTGAGGCTTTTTATTTACCTTAAGCCAACGCTCATTAAGAAAATTATACCCTAATGAAATTGCTTGAACACTTTCTTCAGGTTCTTTTGTTAACAAGCTGACTAATTGTTCCCATCAGTGAGTTACCTGTCAGTTATATTCACTTCTCCCTTACACCATTACATTTTGCTGCTACCATTAACTTGGTTTCTTCTTAGCCTCCAAGTAATGTAGCTACACCTTTATTTTATTTTTTCAAAAAGATTTATTTATTTTTTTATTTGAAAGGCATTATCCCCCCTCCCCTTTTCTCTCTCTTTCTTACACACAAACAGAGAGAGAAAGAGAGAGAGAGAGATCTTCCCTTTGCTGGTTTACTCTCCCAAATGGCCACAACAGCCAGGTCTGGGCCAAACTGAAGCCAGGAACCAGGCACTCCATCCTGGATTCCCACATTGGTGGCAGGGATTCAAGTACTTGAGCCATATTTTACTGCCTTCCCAGATGCATTATCGGGAAACTGGATTAGAAGTGGAGCAGCCAGGATTCAAACTGGCACTCTGATATGGAATGTGGGCATCATAAGCAGCAGCGTAACCCACTGGACCATAATACTAGCCTTATAGATAAACCTTTAACATAGAAGATTTCAAGTCTATTGATATTGAAAGTCTGTATCATCTGAAATATTTTATTACAGAATAGTTTATATAGAATATTCTGTAGCTAAATAAGTTTTGCCTCAAAACCAAAAGCAAATCTACCTTAGTGTTAACTTCTACCAGAATTAATTATTTAAAAAAATATTCATTTTCATTTATTTGAATGAGAGACAGAGATTTTCTATCCTCTAGTTTATTCTCTAAATGCCCACAGCTGCTGGGGCGAGCCAGGCTGAAACCAGGAATTGGAAGCTCAATCTAGTTCTCTCATGTGAATGGTAGGGACCCAAGTACTTGAGCCAGCACCTGCTGCCTTCCAGGGTGCATATTAGCAGAAGATGAAAGAGCACATAGATCTGGGACTTGAACTCAGGCACTTCAGTATAGGATGCGAGTGTCCCAAGTGTTGACTGATGCTAGGCCAAATGCACACTCTTACCAGTAATTTCTTAAACAGGTACTTAACTGTGAAGTTAATCTGAGTGCACAATCACATGAATAGAAAGAGAAATTCTCTTCAGAGAGAGGCACTGGGGTGTGTGTGTGTGTGTGTGTGTGTGTGTGTGTGTATGTATATATACACATTTATCTTCTGATAAAATGAAAACTAAAGTACAGAGAGGCTCTGATAGGGATTCATTCCTATCAGCTTTTCCAGGTTGGTGAATTGCAGACATAGTAGAAGAGGGCTCAGCTGTATATTGAAGGGGAGAGAGAGGTGGAAAGGGTGGAGGTTTACCTTTGACCTTTACCTTTCATAATTTGTTCTATTATGTAATCTACTTATATCCCATTAAACACTGTGCTCTGACATTTGCAGCAAAAAGCTTGACTGTTAAAGAAACTATCTGCTCTCTATTGAGAAAAAAAAAACTATAAATTTGCCTCTTTAGTTGCTTTTGCATTTTCCATTCAAAAATTTTATGTCTACACATGTTTCATGTTTATATTTGCAAAGGATCACTTTGCAAAGAGAGTGTACTCACATGCTGTGTAGTATGGAGTAAAAATAATGCATGTTCTTATGATATGACCTTTTCATCAAAAATTTTAAGATATTTTGTAGACCTTATTTCTTAAAGCAATCCTGACAGTAGTATGCAGCAAGTGGGTAGAAGATATTTAAAGTCCAGAGGCTGAGATGTGAGTCAGCCAACTAGCTTTCTGTTCCTTTAACCATGGCTGCCACTGACTGGTTTGGGCAGGGTAAATCTTGTTTGCTCAGAGCCATAAGTGCAGGAAGTAAAATACCAGTCACAGGATTAAACTGATTTGCTCATTTGGAGGCATTTTTCAAGCATTGAGGACAGGGCTCAGGGCAAATCAGACATAGATAAAACCTGAGGATTGAAGGAAATTTGTTTTCATTGTTATTAGTTAAATAGATTAGAATTAGAAGATAAAAATTCCCAAAGGATTAGGTCACTTTACTAATATATAGTACTTTGTCTCCAAGAAAGCTTCATTGTAGTTCATCCTTCCTTGTACTTTTTAATTAAGTTAATGACATCAGTTTGTTGTAAAGGACAATTTAATTAAAATGTCAGTGGTATTGCCAGGATAAATACTATACTGATGCTGACATGTTATTATGCAAATTAGTCACTGCTGTTTACTGGTAGGGGATAGACATTTGAGTAACATGGTGATGAGTTTTTGCTGAACTAGCTTATAGATTTTCACCTGGCCAGCTTCTCCTTGAATTTCTTTTATTAAATATCTAGTGAGTTCTTTCCATTCATAAGAAATTGTTGCTGGACATATAGAGAATATGAAGACAATCAAGAGCTAATCATTGTACTTTGTGAAATATGTAGCTTGACTTAGGAATGCTTTGTGTAGATTCTGCACCAATTCCCTCTGCAGATTTATGTGCAAATAAACATTCAGTCAGCAGCCAAAGGTCTAATAACCAGAGGTTTTAAATTCATTTCTCTTTACATTTCAGTAAGAGTGGATGCTCAAGTATGTGAAACTTTTAAAATAAAGTAATTTAGGCCTCTATTTTCCAATTGAGGCTGAATTATCTTTCAGAATTCTAGGGTAGAAAAGGTACTTTCTATGTTATCTTGTCTAATATCCTTGATTTAGAAGACTTCATGAGCAATTTCTGGTGACCATATAAGTGTTTTCTGTAGGGGGATAAAAGCTAGGATCTAATTCTCAGATCACTGAGGATTTAAAGCTACACACACACACACACACACACACACATTTCAGGATTCATGAACATTTTGTAGCAGGATAGCCTTCAGGATATTCTAAACAAAGGAGATAATATTAGAAAAAAAATATTTAGGGGCCAGTGTTGTGATTTAGCAGGTAAAGCTGCTGCCTGAGACGTTGACTTCCCATATGAATACTAGTTCCAGTCCTAGCTGCTCCACTTCCCACGTAGCTCCCTACTAATGGCCTGGGAAAAGCAATGAAGGATGGCCCAATTCCTACCTGTATGTGAGACCAGGATGAAACTCCTGGCTCCTGGCTTTGGCCTGGCTCAGCCCTTTTGTTGTCGCCATCTGGGGAATAAACCAGTGCGTGGAAAATTTCTCTGTCTCTCCCTCTCTTTCTGTAAATCTGACTTTCCAATAAATAAATAAATCTTTAAGAATAAAGTGTTTAATTTTTTAAGGTTTATTTATTTATGTGAATGTTTGAGTTATAGAGAGAGATAGAGAGAGGCAGTGAGAGAGAGGGATCTTCCATCTACCAGTTCACTCCCCGTATGGCTACAGCTGCCAGGGCTGGGCCTTCTGTAGCCAGGAACCAGGAAATTTATTCTGGTCTCTCAGATGGGTGTCAGGGACCCAAGTACTTGGGCTATCTTCTGCTGCTTTCCCAGGCACATTGGTAGGGAGCTGGATTGGAAATGGGGTAGCTGGAACTTGAACCAGCACCCATATGGTATCATAGGTCGTGGCTTAACCTGCTTCACCACACTCTGGCCCCTGATTTTGCTTTTGTTAGATGGTTTTATTACTAGCATACCTAGGAATGCCTAAATCCTGTCTTGTTTCCTGGTCTTTTATTAGTAGTTGTATGTGAGCTCAGTAGTCATCATTGCAGAACCTAGGTTGGAGTCATCTGCTTGTATCTCAAGGCTTCCTTTTCATTCTTCTCCCTCATATGCCAATATAAATGTTGATATCTGACTAAACATTGGCAGGCTTCATAAAAGTATGAAATGAGGAGAGGTGAAGGAAATGACCAGTGTGCAGAGTGGGCCTTCACTGATCTAAGTAAACCACATGAAGTTGGGAGGGAAGGGTAGGTTGGGTAAATAGACACATGAAAGGACTTGATAATGACAAGCCCTGAATACCATTCTAAAGTAAATCAAAGCAAAAATGCAAGTCCACATGTGAACAGTAACTTTGTAACACCCACCAGATTACCTGTTCAGTTGTGACCATGGATTGGATCTGAAGCTACTGTGTCTACATGGGGAGCAAGACTTCCTTATTCCTTGTATCTGTTCTGGTCCTGCAGTGGGATAAGCAGGAAGTAGTTCTTGGAAGTATACACTGAATTCAGATTCTGTTCTCAGGATTAGGTTTTGGGGAACACTGTAGTTGCTGGAAGCCACAGTTGTATGACAGAACTGAACTCTCTGAGGTTGTGGGTGCTCTGTTGCCCAAGTTCTGTTTTGACAGAGTTGACAAACCATCAGTTTTTCATCAGTGTTCTATAGGGAATTTTCTTCTACAGTATCAGCTTGGATTTGTGCAATAATAGTAAAGGAACATTTTCAAGTGATTAGTTTGTTTGAAAGGTTTGATTTTCTTCCTGCTGAATTCTGAAATCAAAGGATAAGATTTTAATTGTTACTATTAGAAAACCACACTTTGGATAATGTAAAAGGGCAACTCTTAGTTCAAATGTTCTAAAATACATCTTTTTAAATTTTGCATCTTATCTGAGATCTCCAAATTATTTTTAGAAACTTTATGCAAGGTTCATGATTTAGGCATATTAAAAGAAAGAAGGGGAGAATGATAGTGACTGAGAAAAGCTGCCTTGTATCAAATTGCAAGTAAACTGTGCTAAAAGGGGTTCATGAGAAGCTGACTCCACACACTAGTGCTTTGCAAAATCGGAGGCCATTCTGTATGCTGGAATTATTCACGTAGCTGTCCTTGGTTGTGTTTTTAGAATAAATTGATAAACTTAAATAGGCCAAAAATGACACGGGAAAATATAGTTTAGGAAGCATGATGTGATATGATGAAGTAGAAATTTTTAGGGAAAAACAACTTAGATATGAACTTGGATTTTTAAGTTATAAAAAGTCATGATAACTATACATTGGTAAGAAGAGTTAAAAATCAGCACTAGCCTAAGCAGGATATAAACTGCTGGTATCAGGGAGCCAATAGACTTGTGTTGATGAGGCTGTGATTGAATGAAGTGCTTCTTAACATCTTTCTTCCTATAATAGATCCTTTTCTTCTCTTAGTTAATTCAGCATGGAATTCTCTTGAAATTTTTCTTTTGGAACAGAGAGAGTCCAGTGGTCAAAGGCAATGCGCTCTTGGCTTTAAGCAGCCTTGCTGTCGTCGTTTCCAAACATGAAGCCAGCCTTTCCTCAGATTCTGATGGGGTCCTGGAGGTGAGTGAGCGTGATGTAAAACGGTTGGTGTTTGAATGTGTCTTTAAGCTGGGCCCCAGATTCACAAGTTTAGATTCTGTGGTTTCGCCATACCAAGTAACACTAGTTGTTTCTTCCCTGACTTTTCTCTGCTGCTTTTCTGTTTTGCTTTCTCCATCACAGTTAAGTGGGCATTTCCATTTGAAGGTGCCAATTTTATGCAATAGAGGTTGTCTTTTTGTGATTACATCAGTGGTAACAAATCTTAGGAGGTTAACTAGACTTACTGAAAGTGAACAATGCTGTCAAAAAAATGATAAGTAAGAAGTGTTTACAGATTGAGAAAAATTGTACTTTGCATTTTAATTGTAGACGTCAATGACAAAGTGCCTATTCATTTTTGCAGGGCATTTATTTCTTAATTAAACATGTGACAAGCTGGCCACTGCTAATTTTCAGTGTACTTTTTCAGATAATTTATATCTGTCAAAATAAAAAGGCATGGATTTATTCTTGTCTTAAGCTCTATTATCTGGCAACTATCATTATCAGAAGACAGTATAGCCAAGGGTTAAAAAACAGGCTTTGGAATAGGAGAAACCTATATTTATATTTATTACTTCCACTTAGTAGCTCTATGGTCCATTTTCCCTTTCAGAATCTGTTTTCTTAGCTGTATAATATGGACACCAATGCTTACCAGATAGTAGTCTTGTGAAGATTAAGTGAATTACTATATATAAAAGCAAGACAAGACAGCTGTAAAACACTAAGCTCTCAATTTTAATAAACCATTATAGTTGGCATCAGCATCTACTGCTTCATTTTTTGCTACAGCAGTTGAAACTTTATTCCATGGTATTCAACCTGGGTCTGTCCTTGAAGAGTATCTCATAGCCCATCTGTACCTTTTATTCATGGTGATTTTTGGAACTGGAGAATATGTTATCTGGAGTCTCATAGAATTGAAGGCAAAGCTTAAAACTGGGGTTTGGGAAGAACAGGAACTGAGGTGACTTGGGAAGTTTAGGCAGCAAGTACTAAAGGAAGCATCTCAGCAGGCTACCCCACCAACAGAGTAATCACTTCAGCTGTTTACTATCCTTGCATCAATCACTTAAAATTTATAATTCTAAATGGGTTAGGTGGGACAGGTAGCTTGATTGAGCATTTAACCAACCTTTGAATAGTGAAGAAAGATGTAATTCCCAAAGAGTGCTGTTGCTAGTAACTAAGGATAGGTACTATGTGACAAAAACTATATATATCTATTACATGTAGAAAAGACAGTCAAGGGATTAGTGCATGAATGACACACATATGGTTAACTTAATGAAAAGAAAGATGAAAATGATTTAGAGGTAAATGTTAAATTTTCTTAAAATACCCATGGACTATTTTAGCAGGGCAGCATTCTAAGTAAATCTACAATCTAAAGTTTTAATGTCCTTTTCTGTGATCCTATCACTTTGGTGTTAATTGTGCTGAACAATTAATTAATTAATTGTGCTGAACTATTAGTTTTACAGTTAATTTGCCCTAGTTATAACTGTCTTTTTTTTTAAGATTATTTATTTGAAAGTCGGAGTTACATAGGCACACACACGCACACACACACACACAGAGAGAGAGAGAGAGAGAGAGAGAGAGAGAGAGAGATCTTCTATCTGCTGGTTTACTCCCTAGATGTCTATAATGGGCCAGGGCTGGGCCAGGCCAAAGCAAAAAGCCAGGAGACAGAGCTTTTCCCAAGTCTCTCAAATGGGTGGTAAGGGCCCAAGCACTTGGACCAGCTTCTGCTACCTTTTCCAGGCCATTTAGCAGGAAGCTGAATGGGAAACGGAGCAAATGGGACTTTCATCAGAGCTCATCTGGGATGCCAGCATTTCAGGTGGCAGCTCTACCTACTACACCACAATGCCAGCCCCTGGAGAGACTATCCTTTCTTCAAGGATTGATTTTAGTTTGTTTATCAAACATTAGTTGGTTGTAGTTGCTTATTTGAGTTTCTGGGTTTTCTATTCTGTTTCATTGATACGTATGTCTTTTTGTGCCAGTATCAAGACCTTTGCTTTTAACTGCCCTGTAGTATGTCTTAAAATATTGGATTGTTATGCCTCTGGCTTTGTTTTTGTTGTTTAAGATTTCTTTACCTATTTGGGGGTCTCTTGTGTTTTCATATTTTAGCATTATTTTTTTCTAGATCTGAGAATGTCAACGATATTTTGTTTGGGATTGCATTGAATCTGTAAATTGTTTCCAGTATTATGGACATTTTAATGATGTTATCTCCTCCAGTCCATGATTATGGAATATTTTTCCATTTTTTGTATTTTCTATTTCTTTCTTTAATGTTTTGTAATTTTCATTGTAGAGATCTTTTACATCCTTGGTTAAATTTATTCCAGGGTATTTAATTTTTTCTGTAGCTATTGTGAATGGGATTGGTATTACAGGTTCTTTCTTAGCTGTGGAATTGTTTGTGTATACAAAGGCTATTGATTTTTGTGTGCTGATTTTATATCCTGCAGCTTTACCAAAGTCTCATGAGTTTCAGTAGTCTCGTAATGGAGTCTTTTTGGGTCCCCTATATATAGAATCATGTCATCTGCAAACAGGGTAATTTGAGTTCCCTCTTTCCAATTTGTATCCTTTTGATTTCTTTTTCTTGCCTAATGGCTGTGACTAAAACTTCCAGAACTGTATCGAATAGCAGTGGTGAAAGTGGGCATCCTTGTCTGGTTCCGGATCTTAGTGGAAATGCTATGAATGATTTTCATAGCCAAGTTCTCCTTTAATGAGTTGGCATTTGCTTTATTTTGTTTTTTACTTTCTCTTTTCTACTCTCAAGATCATTTATGTTTTCCTACCTAATTTATCAATTAGCTAGGTGAATATTATGATTCTTGAATAATAACTAAATGATAATATAGTAGTGAGAAAAGTGCTAGATACATTACTCAAAGTGTTGTGGGCTTATTGCCTCCTTCATGAAATGATAAGTCACAGGACTGAGAGGTCTTGAATTGCTTTTTTTTCTGGTGCATTATTCATTTTAATCTCATTATAATTCACTGAACATAGGTGAGCTCTGAAGGACTCTTGGATATGTTTTCTTTTGCAGCCCCCATTCTCTCATTTCTGCTAAGTCTTGCATAAAAGGTAAAATAGTTTTCCTGTTAAGGACCAGGTAAGGATATGTATTTGTCAAGTACCTATTTATCTCATGTAGCCAAGGCAGGTGAAGCTTACTTTTTGATAGTAAAACTTCATTATTTAATACAGAAGGGGGATTGTATCCTGCATCTAGATTTACTGTTTAGATTTGTTTTCTTTTTTTTCAATTATCATTTCATTGTTGTTCTTCTTCCACAGGTTCAACCTCATTTCCTTTCAATGAAAGAGTGGATTACCATGGTGCTTGATACTCTTCTGGTCATTGTGGATAGCCATTACCAACCTAGAGGGCAGCTTTTATCATGGTTTTATTATGTAAGTGTTGGGAATAAAAAATGATCAGAAAACTCAAGGATTGACTCTTCTGACATCAATTGTTCACATGAAATCTGCAATACAATATAATGATCCTCAGCCGTGGTAGTAAAATAGAGTTATCAGTCAGTCTCTCTCTTTCTCTCTCTCTCTCTCTCTCTCTCTCTCTCTCTCTCTGTGTGTGTGTGTGTGTGTGTGTGTCCTACAGAAATACTTATGAATAGGCTCCACTTCTAATTTAATTATTCAGAGAAGGGCCCTGGCCATCAACATTTTGAAGACTCTCAAGGTGATCCTAATGTGTAGTCAGGGATAAGGACTGCAATTATAGGCAAACAAATACTGATTAAAATGTGGGGACCCTAAGTTTGTAGTCATGATTTTTTCATTTCCAGTTATGTGAGCCTAGGAAGTTGCCTTGATTTATTTGGACTTTTTTTTTCCTTGTTTATAGAATGAGAAGACTGAACAGTAGCATATGTAGTGATTGTAGACCTAATAGGTTTTATTACTGTTGACTTGATACTTAATATTTATCATTTTATTTTTCTACTCTGTAAAATAAAAGCAACAGTTTATACTTTGCCAACTTGTAAAACATTATTGGAATCAAATTATATAAATTATTTAAAAATGTCTTGAAAGTGATGAAATATCCTGGGAACACATTTTCCATCTTCATGCTTGTATCCTAAGATTTGAATCAAAATGAAAACACTTTCCTGTTAAATTTTCCTTTTATTGGTTGGAGAGCATGACTGCTTCTGTGTTTGTGTAGAATTATTTTTGTTTTACCCTCTCACTGTCCATTGCTTAGGGAATTATAGTGATCATGGGATAATCAGCTGAGTCACAGAGGATTATAGCTGATTTGGATGAAAATATAGTCCCGATCCTGAACTGTTGCTAAGAATACAACTTTAGCCTGAAACACATTGCCTATGGTCTTCTCTGTATATTTTGTGTGGTTCTATCCTCCTGGCCCTAGGAATACTTGGTATGTATTCACCTGGGGCTTAGGCTCTGGAGCTAGATTTTTAACTAACTTGAGGACAAAAATGACTTACTAGATAACGTAGAATTAAATTAGAAGGGAAGTTTTGCTTAAAGAAGAAATTTGTTTATGATGGTTTGTTTTCTGTCAACAGTGTTCTTATTTGTATAATGATGGATGAATACTTCTTTCAAAGCTTATGTAAAAGTCTTTGCAATAATTATCTAGTCTAGTTATTCACCAGAACAGCACATTGTGTGCAATCCTAAACAGTGCTGCTTAGTTCTTGCAAACCAGTAAAAAAATCTCTCTTCTAGACAGCTCAGTGTTGCACCTTACCTTTGTGATTATTATACTTTTCAAATTGTTTCAAAAGTCACTTACCTTATTTCCTGTGTCCTAGCATCTGGCTCATTTCAATAACATTTTCAGTTCAATAGTGCTATATTAACATAAAGTATAACTTAGTACATGTTTGCTTTTTATCCTTAGAATACTAAAGCTTAGTAAATGGGCATAGAATTAAAAAATACATTTTAATGTTTTCTGATGAAGGAGACAATACTGACTATGATGTCTCTGAAAATCAAAAATAGATAATAGAAATGATAAATGGGCTATCTTCCACATTTGAAATATATTTATAAATGTATGTGATATCAGTTGAGCTTTCGAACGTGGGATTCTTGTTGAAGCTTTTCGTATTCAGTTGCTCTGTCACTTTGTTAGGGCTGTTACTTATTTCTTTTCACATAATTACATATAGGAAGGAGCATATAGTGCTCTCCATTTCATTTTGAATAGCTGGTTATTGCTTTGTAACCAGAAGCTTTTAGGATTTCAACTTCCTTTTTAATTAAAAGGAATTAACTCTCTGTAGGAAATAATCCAACTACTGGGAAGTGTTCCCACCAAAATCTTTGGGAGACATGCCAATGGATCCCTATGCTAAACTTACACTTACTTCTCCACATGAAAACTTAAAACTCTGCCCTCCTCATTTTTTTTTTTTTTTTACCCTGGGGAAAACGCTTAGCTTTCTGAACATTTAAAATGTGGCTTCATGGTTTATCCAAACTCAGATAGCTTTGCTATTGAGTTCTTCCATATACACACACACACACACACACACACATCCATGTGGCTTTTAAAAACACTGAAATTGTTTCAGGCCATATTTATAGTGAAAGAATTCATGACCTTGAAGCAGAATAAACTTAACATTTTGTTTTTCTGCCAAATTTAAAAGGACATTATTAGTTATTTAGTAGAAAGTTGTTGAGTGAAAATAAGACAAACACACTTGGATTTTGAAAAACTTATTTTTATTTTTTGGTTGGCATGGGTGAATACAAGACAAACTTATATTATGTGATATGCTTTTCTGGTAGTTAGGCTTCCTTCATGTTTTAAACAAAGAGCTAACCCCTGTTTTCTTTCTTTGGCTTGTTCTAGAAATCTTATTCTGGTGAAAACACAGCTAGTGCCATTGCCCGTTCTGCTGCCGCCACGGCTTTGTCTCTCCTTGTGCCAGTTTTCATTATCTCTTGCAAAGAGAAGGTTGAGGAAATCCTGAACATGCTGACTGCCAGGTTACCTGGGAAACCAAGTGCTGATGAGTCTCAAGCCGTGCAAATCCATATGGGCCTTGCTTTGGGGATGTTTCTTTCTCGCCTGTGTGAGGAGAAACTCAGGTACAATTTATTGGAACATACCTGCTTTTCTTCTTTGTGATTTAAGCAAAGGTTTTGAACTCATATACACATATACCTAAATGCTGTACCTAAGCAATATGTGGTTGCTAAACTTTTTGGGGTGGGAAGCTTGATCCTTTATGGTTGAATTTATCTTTCTTGAATGCCATTTTATAGATATTAATGTATTTTAAAGTCTGTTAGTATTAAAGTGATTATTAGTCACTTGAAAATCACCTCATGCTCTGTTGAAAGCCCCAGGTTTGTCTGTGTAATATGCATCAGCAGAAGCCTAATCTTACGTGCTATAAGTCAGGAAAACCTTTTTTATGGCTCATATGGGATACAATTAATTGATGATCTTTATTGATATCAATGTAAAATCTTATGAAACAATTTGGGTATCCCTTGTGCCTAAGGAATGTTAGGGAACCCTGAATTACATGAGAACTATGTGTACTCAGCTTTAAATAATGTTTTTATCCTGTGCCCTTCCTATATTTTTTATAATCTTTAAATAGTCTTAATCTTTGCATATTATACTGTGTTCTTTTTTCTGTTTGCTCAGTTTTGAGCTGCTAGCTTTACCTTTGAATGAAGGTAATGGAATATCAAAGACTCAGGTGGAAAATTCCACTTATTCAAAATGTTTGCTTAGCACTAATCTATTTTAGTTTTGTTGTTCATACTATTTATTCTTTATGTTATAAGAAATCTTAGAATTTTATATATCCAGATTGATTACAGAGTGATTCAACATGAATATTTGGTTGTCATGAATATTTTGATGCCAATGACTTGGAACTTAGCCTAGTGTTCCAGCACTGGGAATAGGATAGGAGAGAGAGACATCCTGCTGTGATGTTAGATGTCCTTAAACTTCTATGGTTTTCAGAAATTAGTTGTGCAAGGGCAAGAACTTATATTGGTATGGATAAACTGGCTGATGTGCTATATTTAGATTTCATCTTGCAGCTAGTGGTTAAGTTTATATTTGTAACTTGCATAGTTTGGCACAAATACCACTATGTGAAACTTTTGTGAGAATTGCTATTGATCTGGGGAAATACTGTATTTCAGATGATCATTCTCAGCTCTTGAACACATCTGTCAGATGGTTGGGATGATTGGCTTAGTCACTGCCATCACCACTGAACTATGTGCAGAATACTAATTTTTTTGCTGTATTCTCCAGCACCAATACCTACAAGCCTGATTCTGGACATGAACAAAAACTTGCCCTTTGCATATCACCTGACTTTACATATCTTATGTATGTATATAACCGAGCTTAAAATATTTTTAAAGACTTAAAACTTGAAATTGATTTTTCCCCTTTGCTACTATGCCACAAATGGCATTCTCTTCACCATCTGTGTTCATGCTCTTTCGTCAGTATCTTTTCAAGCAACATATTTTGCAACTAAAAATGAGCTGTGGCAATTTGATTCTAGGCAACTCATTTCCCCCTATCCTGTCTCTGGCTCCTTTATTCATTAACTTAGGATGGGATGCTGGTTTTAGGGCCGACAAGAATGCATTTGCAGTTAATTTAATCATTTTACCTGAAGAAACTTTTGACATTCCCCCAGAACACTTGTTACTGGTTTCTAGATTGCCTTTCACCTCTGTTTATCTACTTGACTTTGTACTCGTGGAAATCCCTGGGCAAAAACGCCAAGGAACTCTTCCCATAACTGAGCATCCCTAGAGTAACTGCAAATGTTAACTTTGCCCTAATGTTCCTGTATTTGATAGCATCTTCTGCCTCCTTAGGACCCATATATTAATACTGTAGTCACTAGTATATTTAGTCATGGCTACCACCTCCCCAGTTTCTTGGAACAGAGGTATCTGAAACGTAAATGTTTTACTAAATAATGACAGTGTCACCAGATAATGGCATTTTTAGGAAAAGTTTCTCTTTTTTTCTAAGATATAGGTAAGTATTTTAAGGGTGTTTGACTCTGATGATTAGTGACATCAAATAAGTGACCCCAAAAGACCACTTAGGTACAAGACATTCATTCTAAGAAAGTAAAAAATTCCTTTGTAGTAGAGAATTAGGACTGTCAATCCTGTATTTTTTTTTTTGCTAAAATTTATGAAAATGTCTCCTGAATTTAAGTGCCAAGTAAAATCTCTTCTGAAAAGTACATTATTTCAAAGCTTCTCATGTGTGCCATAACCTCCAGAGGATGCAAGTATGCTCTTTTTAGTATTTAAGATATTTGAGTGTATTTTCCTCCACAGAACAACTTTATTAAGACTTAATTAAATCTGTGTGTATGTGTTTTCCTGTGCGTGTGCGTGTATGTTTCTCTCATTGCAAAATATAATTCTTCACCGTGGGGGAAGTCACTGTAGTCATGGTTTGGAAGACATTATTTAAAGAGCTGGCTGCCTGGTTGGCATTCTTGGAACTACAGTCCACCAAATGGATCCGATCCGATGCAGCAGCCTGGGAGCTGAGGTGTGAGGACACCTTAGTAATCAAGGGCCAGCAATGAAGCCCACAACTCTGCCATCCTGGTTCTCACCAAGCCAGTTACAAAACCCACATCAAGTACTGTATAAAAGTAGAATATACAGCTAGGGTTCATTTCCCCTTTTAAAAAAATGTAAAAAAAGAAAAGAGCTTATGACCTCTGAATTGAGATGTGAAATCAGAAGTGACAGTGCAAGAGAGGTTTGGGATGATTATTAATTAATCAATAAATAATTAAGCTGATGTCAGCTTAATTAGTTATTAAATATTTGGAATAAAATCATTAGCATTCTTAGAAATATTTATTTGGAATTGTTACTTTGGCTTTTATTTTTCAGTGATTTAAAATTAAAATATGTTGAAAAGTCAAAAGTAGGAATTGTACAGTTTATTATTACTGTAGGGTTGTTGTGCAGAAACCCAATTATTGAATAATTTCTCTGACCCAGTTTTCTCTGTGAAATAAGCATATGGAGATCATCAATATTATTCCTTTTTAAAATAAAAGAGATGCTGGCATTTCAAGTAAATTATTGAGAACAAAATTTTGTTTTTAAGTATTTCATATAGTTAAATGAATTTAAATAATTCATTTTCTACCTTTATCTTTATCCAGTGATGTATCTGGCCAACAGATGAATCTTCTTCTGATGAAGTCTTTAGATGCCCTGGAAAACTGCTGCTTTGACACTAGTCTTGAATACAAGTATGTTGTTTCCATTTCCATTCTAACAGATACTTAGAGATTGGTTCCTGCTATGCCAGAAAATTTGAATGCTGTGGTGAGATATTGGTAATGCTTGATCTTGAATACCTTTGCCAGATTTTCATAATAATCAAGAAACCAAAACTTCATTGTTCTGAAAACTGTGTTTCAGTAAGTTTGTTTAAATACAAAGCAACAAGTATCCCATTGTGGCTTCTTCCTTTATATAAGACTTTAGTTTTGTTTCGTACTTATCATGTAAGGCATGTATTTGGGGACCTGGATGCATGACTTAACCTTTTTAATGGTCTGTTGAAACTGTTTGAATTTGATTGGGCTAAGAGAGCTTTTGAATGATGTTTTGTGTTTCCTTGTAACATTCATTGACTAGGGAAGCAAAATAGAAACAAACATTGTTATATCAGGGGTTCTCAGCCTTAATATATCTTTTGTCCCCTTACACAACTGATGTTTCTTAAAATTTTGTATATTAAATTAGATATCTCAAAATTTATTTTCTCACTCTAGTATTGAAAGGTATCAAAAGGAAAAATAACTAATCAGGAAATAATATATCAAAAAAGAGTGTTAAACATACTTGTTGAAAGAGACTTTAACATTTCAGTCTATGTGACCTGTGTGGGTCAATGTGTATGTTTTTGTTAAGCTTTCAGAAATATTGACACCAGTGAGGACCTACATTGTAACTTGTTGGACTTCCAAATATTTTGGAACCTCAACTTTGAATTCTCTGCAGTTCATTGTTACCAGGAAACACAACAGATTATAAGCACTAATCTCTAGTTTATTAACTCATTTACCTTTTGCTATTTTGGGCACTGTTCAAATATGAGTTAAATCAATGACCATTAGGAACTTAAGATCTAAAGCTACATCCATATCATCTAGCCTGTTAGACCAAGAAAAGAATAAATTAAAAGGTAGAGGTAGCTGCAAGGATAAAGGGTTTCATCTTAAGCAAAGTGAAATGTCCATGTAGTAAGTGAAAATTACAGAATCTTCTTTCAGATGCAAGCTAGGATTTGACAGGCCGTAGACACTTGCCTACTTTATCAAGAAACAATTTAAACAACTGACATAATAATTTGATTTGAATTCGGCAAAAGAAAGAGTTTAATGTTGTTGCCTTTTATAACCAAGAAATAAGAAATTTCTCTCCCCTGCTGCATGTTTGTCTGTCTTTTCTTCCTCCTGCCTTCTGTTTCCCTCAAAGATGTTCATCAAAGCTGTTTCTCAGCATGTTATGAAGATAAAAAAAGTGTAAGATGCTGCAGACTTTCAGCCAGTTTGAATAATCAAGAATGACTTTCATGTGTCATCTCCATTAGTTTGCAGGAACGTGTTTGAATATAGGAAGGACTGCATTGTCCACCATATGAGTGTTTATGTACACAAAAGCTTTGAATGTCTAAGAATATTAATTCTAATTAATTAATTCTAAAATCCATTTTTCTTTGTTAATAAGATTCTATTCATTTTACCTTCTTTTTTGAGTCTCTCCTTCTTAATGAATATCTATATTTGGGAAAAGGTAGAGTAGACTGGAAAGGGAACTAGTTCTGCAGAGCAAAGTAGAATAGGGCACTCAGAACTTTCCTGTCCATTTAGTGAAAACTTGCTTGTCTATTAGATCCCTGTTAAAAGCTTGGGTCCTTCAAGAAGCTTTTCCTCTGCCCTCATCCAACTGCTATTATTTCTACAGTTTACTGAGATTCAGTATTTTGTCATTCCTAATGTTTTGTGGTTATCAGTCCTTATGTACAGTAATCCCCCCTTACCTGTGGTTTCACTTTCCTTAGTTTTAGTTGCCTATAGTTTATCATGGTCCAAAAAATATTAAATGGAGAATTCCAGAAATAAACAACTCATAAAGTTTAAATTGCATAGCTTTCTAAGTAGTGTGAAGCAATCTTGAACTATCCCACCTGGGACAGGAATCATCCCTTTGTCCAGTGTATCCACACTATATATTCTACCTCCTCATTTGTCACTTAGTAGCCATCCTGATGATCAGATCAACTGTGTTCAAATAATTCTTATTTTATTTAATAATGGCCCCAAATATGACAGTAGTGTCTATTTTATTACAGTATAATCTTATAATTGATCTGTTTTGAGTTATTGTTCTCTGAGTCTTATATACTGATTAAACTATCACAGATATGTATATACAGGATAAAGCAGAGTATTTATGAATATTGTCTTTGGGTTCAGGCATCCATTGCAGGGGATGCGAAATGATTTAAAATGTATCCTGTGTTTATAAGGGGTGACTACTATAGTTCTGTCTGTGGTTTTAGATTCAACTAGTAATTATCCAGTAGTCACATACCCAGCTAAACATTTCTGCATCTGTTTCTCTTGTAATTAAATTCTAATCATAACCTAAATACGATACTAAAACAGGAATCATCATCACTTTGGTTTACAGATAAAGAAAGTGAATCTCAGGAGACTTGTTCATGGTCAAAGGCTTAATAAGTGTCAGTGCTAGGTCATCTCACTGCAAGGCCACTTTTCTTTTTTGTCCAGTACAGTATAATGAACACATTTCAATAGGAGAAAGGAAGCAATTTAATGCCTGACCTATTATGTTTGTTGTTTATTTTTTTCTGGCATGCATTATCCTCTATTTAAAAAAAAAAAGGTTTTTTACAAAGATTCTGTAATTATTTGAAAGGCAGAGTTACAGAGAGGACACAGAGAGGCACATTAGCAGGGAGCTGGATTGAAAGCTGGAACACAAGCCAGCGCCCATATAGCATGCTGGCACTGCAGATGGTGGCATCACCCACTATACCACACCATTGGCCCTTATTTTCTGCTTTTTAACTTGGCTGAGGCCAGAATGGCTGGCTCATGGTGTAAAGTATACCCTAGTCTAATGATACTGCAGGAGTCTAGGGAAGTCCTCACTTAAGTACTCGAAGTGTTACAAGGAGGTGGCTAATAGATCTGGGGGTATGTTACCTCAAGTGATAGAATTCACCCAGAGCAGATTCCTCACGTTTCCCTGATTCAATGGGCTTGTCCCTGCTGAGAGGACTGAGCACCTGGGTGGGCTGGTGTTTGTGGGCACATAATTGATGTTTTGCTGCCATCTAGTGGTATTTTGTTGTGCCATTGCAATCCTCACAGCCCTAACTGTAGTCACGCTATCCATCACAGACTTGAGCTTTGCTTAATTACTATTGAGCTTTTCCAAACATGATAACATTTGTATAGCGCTTTGTAAAGGGCAATGCGCTATACAAATGTTAACTGTTATTAGAACTAATTATTAGATGGCCTTGCTCTTAATCTGAAGGATTGCCTACAATAAGCCAGGGAATTCAGATTCATCTCTGGTTAATGTTAGGAAAAATTATCATGCTATCTCAGTTGATATAGCAACACACATCAGAATTACATAGTTTTTAAGTATCAGGATTTCTTTTTGCTGGTGATGTTTCAATATAAGAACTCTGATGATCAGTTACAAAATTCCAAAATTCAAATTTTGTTTATTTCCAGTTAGCACTCCAGTATAAAATTTATGATGACATTTAAAAAGCATAATTGTATATCTGATATTATCAATTGTTTTTATGCCATCTGTCTGAAACACCAACACTTAACTTCTTTTTGTTTTCATTGGATAGAAAGATCTGAAAATTACCTCTGCCTGAGCTATCCTTGGTGTAGAGCTGGAAGACTTAAGAGAAGCTAGAGTGAAGTAACTGTGTGGCAGTGCTGAACAAAGCGCCTGGGGGATCTTTAAGACTTTGGACAAAAATAAATTTGATAAAAGAATTGATGACCAATAGAAGAATTGGCCATCAGGAATAAAGCTTTAAGACTACCTTCTTGGTGTATACTGGACAATCAAGACAAAACAGAAGGAAACTTAGAAAGACAGTAGATGATACATTCTAAGATATTTATATTGGTATTTGTATATAAATAGTTCAGTTTTGTATTCTTAATATTACAATAGCAAATTATTACCATCATAATGATGTATAGAATCATTAGTGAATCATAGCCATGCCTAATAATAATAATAAAACAGTGATAATTTTTAGACAGGTGTGAACTAGAAACTGGGATATATTTTTCTAGACCTCTCTTTATATATCCTGTGATGATAAAGGAAGAGCTTCAGTCTAGTTGATAGGCTCTTTTGTTGTTGTTGTTGTTGTTCCCAGGAGAACCTAGAAAACAAGACTTGGACTTTTTCTACTGGAGAGAGATGAACCTTAATATTTATTTGAGTGAGCTTTGGAAGGAATCTTTTCCCACGGAACTCAGCATTTCTCTCTCTCTCTCTCTCTTTCTCTCTCTCTCTCTCCCCCACTCTCCCCCTCTTTCCCTCTCTCCCTCTCTCTCCCCTTATGTGTGTATGTGTGTCACTTTTAGTTTTAATGATATGTGATTATTGTAAAATTTACTGTGTATGAGTGAATGACATTTTCCATTTAATTATTAGCATCTCTCTTTCTTAAATTAGTCTGGCAAAAACCAGAAATTGAGTTTTCTTGATTGATCCTTGAGTGATACATTCAGTGAATTTTACTGCTTATAAATTTTGCCTCTAACTAAGCCTATGAGTTAAATCTTTCTTCCCCTGTAGATTTTTCTCTCCACTTTAGACTTTCTTAATACTTGTCATGTAAGGGTGGACTTTAGCTTAGCAATTAAGATACAAATTAAGATGCCTGAGTCCCATGTCAGAGTGCCTGGGTTCAAGTTCCATTTCTGGCTCTTGACTCCAGCTTCCTGCTAATACACTGGCAGGCAGTAGATGATGGCTGGAATACTTGGATCCCTGTCACTCATATTGGAGAACTGGATTGAGTTCCCATTTGGCTCTCATCTTTGATCCAGCCCAGTATGTGCCATTGTGGACATATTGGGAGTGAATCAGTAGATGGGAGTGTTCTCTCTCTCCCTGCCTTTCACATAAATTTTAAAATATTATTAATTTGATCAGTTTTTCAGCATTCAATAAATATTGATTGGGGCCGGCCCTGTGGTGCAGTGAGTTAAAGCCCCGCCTGCAACCCTTGCATCCCATATGGGCACCAGTTCAAGCCCTGGCTGCTCCACTTCCCACCGAGCTCTCTACTATAGCCTGGGAAAGCAGTAGAGGATGGCCCAAGTCCGTGGGCCCCTGCACCCATGTGTGAGACCTGGGAGAAGCTCCTGGCTCCTAGCTTCAGATTGGCTCAACTCCGGCTGTTGCAGCCATTTGGGGAGTGAACCAGCAGATGGAAGATCTCTTTCTCTCTCTCTCTCTCTCTCTGTCTCTGTCTCTACCTCTCTCTTTCAAATAAATAAATTAATAAACCTTTAAAAATAAATAAATATTGATTGAATGCCTGTCTATGTATTAAGCAGTGTGCTAGGTGGCACAATGTTATGGTGAGTAAGAAACAGAAAGCTGTCCACCCTTGTGGAGCCTGTGGCTAGGAAAGAAACGAACCCCCAAATAATCCTTATCTGAATTTATAAGTAGTATACTATTTATAAGTAGTAATACTATTATTATAATTATACTATTTATAAGTAATATTCAGATAATCCTTATCTGAATTTTAAAATAGTATGAAGTAAGTTAGTGTAGTTGAATATTAGAGAGGTTTTCTGCTAGGCCAGGGAAGGTGTCGTGGAGGAAATAACATTTGGAATCCTAAGGATATATAGCAGGACCGGCACTGTGGCGTAGTGGGTTAAGCCGCTGCCTGCAGTGCCAGCATCCCATGTGGGTGCCGGTTCAAGTCTCAGCTGCTCCACTTCCAATCCAGCTCTCAGCTATGGCCTGGGAAAGCAGTAGAAGATGGCCCAACTGCTTGGGCCTCTGCACCCATGTGGGAGACCTAGAAGAAACTCCTGGGTCCTGGCTTCGGATCGGCACAGCTCTGGCTATTGCAGCCAACTGGGGAGTGAACCAGTAGATGGAAAACCTTTCAATCTCTCTCTCTCTCTCTCTCTCTCTCTCTCTCTCTCTCTCTGCCTCTCCTTCTCTCTCTAACTCTGACTTTCAAATAAATAAAATCTATATAAAAAGGATATATAGCAGTTCAGTAGTCAGAGGAAATACTCATACTTGTCAAAGTATTCATCAGCTGTTGTCTAGTTATATCTTTGGTCTAATTATGTCAAATTTTTGTATGCAGCAATATAGAAAGATAGCTAAGAAAACATTCCTGTATATTCTAAATGATAAATGAAATCTTTAGATGTATTCTTATCAAGAGTGGCCTTTCCCTCTTTCAAATCAGTGATTTGTCTTAAAAGCATGCAGTTTTCAGGTGATAGTGACTTAACTAGTTGGAATTGCATGTTAGCTGAGCTTAAGTTTTAACAGCAGTTTTGCCTAACTAATGATGGATTATTATTGCAAGTAGCTTCTTTACAAAATATTTTTCCAGTTCCAGATTCTTTTGCAATAAAAACTGGAAAAACACGCCTAACCTAAGATACTTTGCTTTCTTTTAATTATTTATTTGAAAGGCGGAGTTTACAGAGAAAGAGATCTTACATATGCTGGTTGACTCCCCAAATGGCCTTAACGGCCAGGGCTGGACTGCTATCTGGTCCAAAGCCAAGAGCCAGGAGCTTCCACCGGTCTCCCACATGGGTGCAGGTACACAGGACTTGGCTGTCTTCCACTGCTTTCCTAGGCACATTAACATGGAGTTGGATCAGAAGTGGAGCAGCAGGATGTTAATTGGTGCCCGTATGGGATGCCAGTGGCACAGGTGGCTGCTTTACCTGCTATGCCACAATGCCAACCTGATACGTTGCTTTCTTGGAGGCCTCCCATCATGACATTATGCAGAGTACTGAGAGGGACCCTGGGATTGGCAGATGGAACAGAAGGCTGAGCATCAAAATCTCCTTGTCCTGGCCATGTGCTGCTGGAAATCTCTTAGCAGATATGGATGCTCCGTTCACACAGAGGTGTTGACAGAAGCACCTAACATGTTCTTAAAATGCTGGGAGGGTTCTTGATGTCAGCCAAGCAGTGGATACTGTTTAAGAGCAAAATGACATAACATGCAAGCATTGAAATAAGCTGTGAGAGATATGCCCTGGAATATGTTCTTAAGCAGCAGATATCATGGTGAGAGGCGAGCCAAACTGGAACGAGGATGATTTGTGAAAACCTCGAGAATTTATGCAGTTTGAAAGCAACCATGATGACAAACACTGTTTTTAAAAAGTTTAAAAAAATTACCATAAGCTGTATTATCTAATCATACTAACTTAAAGTTTTCTAAGAGAGCAATTGCTTTTTAAAAAAAATTCTTGTGGGAGAATTGGGGCACAAAGCCTCAGATTCCAATTGAATTGTCACATGGGGTAACTTTTGACAAGCCTGTCATTTGTCCATTTTCTCTTCTGACCCAGTGTTACTCTGAGGGATCAGAGGGGAGAGGGGGATTAATGTCATTGTGCACAGACGAATACACAGTTTCTTTAAGACAGAAATTCCACTTGGTGAAGTTGACTAGGAAACATGAAGCGAACGCAGTACTTCCTAGTCATGCCTTGCGTTGTTAGTCAGATGTCTCAGCTCATATTCTGAAATTTAGTCTTTTTTCTCCTTAGTCACAGTGTATTCCACAGAGCCCTTCAGTAAGGGCGGAAATAGGGCTGGTCTCCGTATTCTCCTGTTGTCACCACCAAGTTTAAGACAAACTATCTCACATTTTCACTCTTGTCCACTGAGTACACAGCACTGATGTGGGCCATCGATACCTGTGTGATACAGAGATTTCCTTTGGAGGGGAGAGCTGGGTAAACCTGTCATGAGTGCTGAGGCAGATCCTGCCCTTTCAGTCTCGGGTTTCAGAGCCCCGTAAACTTCCACTGTAAATGAAGAGCAGTTACGTGGATTTCTTGTGGTCCTAACACCTCATCTTCTTTGATGTCGAAGCACGGGCTGCATACTAGGAGTTGGACTGGTTCTGTCCCTCATGAGCCACAGCAATCAAACGGAGTCCCGAGTGCATGTTGCAGCCTCACTTCGGAAGCTGTCCGCACACCTGGATGACAGTGGGAGCCAGAGCAGAACATTTCAAGAGGTAGGACATTGAGGTTCCATTTTTTTTCCCCTTGCTGCCATTTCTTAATGCTGTTTATTTTCTGCCTCTCCTATTTTGGTAACTCTGTAAATTACATTCTTTCTCAGTTTCAACTGCGATAAGGAGAAAATCTGAGTGACAAACATCCTCTATCAGATCGCGAGATTTTCAAATTGTTTGGCTATGTGAGTCAACTTAGACTTAAATGTGGAGTATAAGATAATAGCCTTTAGTGACTAAAAAGTCCTAAGTCCTAGAAGGCAATTTCTAGGAAGAGCTGTGATTGTGGGAAGAAGGTTAAATGGAGATTTTTAGAATTGTGCTCACACCAAATGTAACATTTAAAAATGGCCAGGAATAAGTTTAAGAAACTGTGAGATCAAAAAGCATTTGATTTTATAAAATGTCAGCTAGCATGAAAAATTATTGAGGAAATTCCCTTTATCATACTCAGTGAAGATATTTTTACATTTTAGCAGAAAAATATGCAGAATTGGAGTTTGCCTGACACAGTCCATGTGTGTCAACCATGTTTGGATAGACCATGTTAGATGTGCCATGCCTGTCTCTGTACCCAGGTGAAGCTGCTCTGTGCTGTGATTTTCTTTGGGAAGAGCAGGGCATGACCTTCTGGCCTGGCCAGATTCTCCTTCTCATTAGAGCAGATTCTGTTTTATCCCAGCCTGCCCATGAGCTATTGATGAGTACATAATGGCCACTGTGTTTCCCTGCTCTGCTCCTCTGCTTTCAGCAATAGCACTTATTGAATTGGTGAATTTCTCTGGGGCACAGAGGGTTGAAGTTTTGTTCTAAGACATGCACTAAATTTCCATTTTTAAAGTGGTGTAGAGCATGATGTAAAAGAACATATTTTTGAAGCCAAAGGAGAAAATCTTGCAACCAAGGAGCAATTTGATTAATAAATGAAACAAACTTTTTTTTTTTTTGAACTGATACATCCTTCTGCCTTGATGTTTTGACAGATAAGGCCCTAAGCAAGAAATTTAGTTTCTTCCCTCCAGTGTTTTATTATCCAGCTTCTACCTTAAAAATCACTTAGATTTTTTCATGCTGTGTCAACAGCACTAGGAGTTTAATTCTCCACCTTGTCTGAAAAACATCCTTGTAGGAGAGGTCTTAGCATGAAAATGTGAGATTGGCAGGGAGGGAGTGATTGACCTTGATCTGCAAAAATTGAGACTCAAGTAGATTGATTGATCCAAAGTTACTTAGTAAAAAGTCAATGTGGGACACAGACCTGAGAGTGGACTCTGGTCCCAACATTCTTTTTAATTTATATTTTATTTATTGATTAATTTGTTCAGTAATCTATTCATTAAGTTCTATTAATCTATTAAGTTCTCAGACCAGTACCATAAAATAAGAGTAGTACCCCTAATTTACACAATTTATGTGACTCCAAAAGCCACATGCCTTTTCCAGTTACGTTCTTCTACTTCTCTTTGAATTTCCTCTTTTGTTTGGCCTTGGATGGGAGTGTCAGGCAATTAGTAGCATGCCCTGGAGATGAAAATCTGCTTCTATCTGTGCTTGATAGGTGCTGTGTTCTGTCATGAGGTGGTCAGTAGAGTCTGCAGAGCAGAGTTTGAATGCCACTTCTGTCTCTCGCTAGCTGTGTGATGTTGAGCCTCAGAGTCCTTATCTGTAAAGTACAGATAGTGGTTCCCATCATGACCTTGTCATGAAATATAACCATGTGAGTTAGGCAGCAAAACAGCACTCAGACTGCGAGAAATGTATCCAGCTCCAGTTCACTTTCTGGGGAAAAGTTAGGCAGAATATTTGTGGGACATAAGCCTCATTCTTTTATTTTGACCCATGAAGAAGCATTTTTCTGCCATATTTTTTTCTCAGGTCCTTGCCTACACCCTTAGCTGTGTGTGCACATCAGCGTTCAGTGCAGGAATTATTGAAGCTGAAGAGGCTGAAGAGATTATGAACAAGCTGCAACTGTTGGTACAGAACAGCCAGCAGGTTGGGTTGCATGCCCTGATTATTCCTCTCGTGGGTCTCATGATGCTGCTAACACCCGCCTTTCATTTCATTGAATTAGACCGTACTGAGCTATGTTTCATGACTATAGCTATGGAACTTCTAACTATTCACTTCTCTCACAACCATAGCCAAAAGTCAGTGATGTATTCTCTCCTTATCCCTTGTCTCCTTCTGTGAGCATTTCTTTTTCTTTGTCTGAGAGCATAGATAGACTTGTCTGTTTTTCCAGATATTGCTCTATGTTTATAAAATCTTTAAATATATGGCTAAGAAATGAAAGAGTTGAAGTAAGACTTGGCAAAAAATTTGTAAAGATCTGAACACATAGAGGAATCAAACTCAAACTTCAGGAAATTCAAATCTGAATATCTCTGCTCAGAACTGAATATATATAGAAAAATTTAAATATCTATAATTAAATCCCATTAAAATACTCCCACAGGATTATTATTGAACCTTAAAAAGGAAGGAAGTTCTGAAATGTGCTACAACATAGATGAATATTGAAAGCACTATGCTAAGTGAAATAAACCAATCCCAAAAAATGATATGAAAATTTCCACATGTATGAATTACTTACAGGAGTCAGGTTCATAGAGACAGAAAGTTGAAGGGTGATCTTCAGGGCCTGGGGGGAGGGAAGAATGAGGAGGTACTGGTTAGTGAGTATGAAGTTTCAATTTGGAGGGATGAAAACAGTTCTGGAGATGAATAGTGGTGATAGTTGCATGATAAAATGCATGTGCTTAATGCTGCTGAAGTAGTATTCATGATGAAGATGATAAATTTTATGTATCTTTTGCTACAATAAAAATTGAATGAAAAATGCCCTTTAATTACATTTGCTATAGAATTTTTTCCTTTGGGATATTTTTAAATGTTTCTCCAAAGTGTTAATATTGGTCATAGTGGATTATTGCAGAATTCATTACTTTTAAGCTTAGAATTGTATTGCTGTTTTATACGTATTTGCTTGCTCACTTATATTCCAAATAAATTTTACAAAACCAAAACACACAAGTTTTCATATGCTTTGCTCCTTTTGATATTTTCTCTTCTTGTTTAGCGGTTGATTGACCTTTTGTGGTCAACCATGGTGTTTTCACCCTGACCGTGTTGAGTATTTGTGTCATTTGAAGTAAGATTCAGTATAGTACATTATGATTTTCTGAAAATAAACTACTCACTGTAGCTGAGTTCCTTGAAGTTAGCCTCTGCAGTGTCTGTTGCAAACCAGTGTCTAGATTTAAAAAAAAAAAAAAATCTGGAAATCTGATTTTCAGATGACAAATGGAAATTGTCAGTAGGAAAAAGAGCCCTTGGACTTGCTTATGTTGTTAAATATAAACATTCCTAATCTGTGTCCTTTTTTTCTTCTTCTCATCCCCTTGTTTTTATTCATTTATACCAGACTTCAGGTTTTGCCCTGGCGTTAGGAAACATAGTTCATGGTTTGTCTGTTTGTGGACATGGAAAAGCTGAAGATTTAGGCAGCAAACTGCTCCCTACCTGGATCAGAACTGTTCTATCAGAGGTAAAAGTCACCTCCTATATGCTGTTTTATATCCTTATATAAGATAAGAACTACCTTAGTGAACCATTTCTAGGGTCTACTAAAGTATATAGCTTAATAGTAAAAGAACAGGCAATTTCAAATGTAAGGGATGCATAATTTTAATCCCTTACAAATACGGCATTTGTCAAACATGATGGTTTTTTAAAAACTGGTCGTTTCATCAGTATTTTAACATTAAAATAGCATTTCATTTTTTGAAAAATAAAAACAAGAAACCACTAATGATCTAACAACCTTATTTTGTTACTTTATTTCAGTCTGCTCTCACTTTTGGTTTAATTGTGTAGATTATGTTGACCCTATACATTTAGTACAATTTTGATCATTTAACTATCTACGCTGGCATAGGTTTTACAGAATCCAAACCCAAAGCTCTCTTGACATTTTCTGGCTTTGTTTTCAGGGCACTCCCACAATGCTTTGTTTGGCAGCTCTTCATGGCATGGTTGCCTTGGTGGGCTCTGAAGGGGAAGTGATGCAGGTAAAAAAACTAAAAGGGGGCATCTATCTATTGAGGGGAAGAAATCTAAATGTGCCCATCACTGTTCATCACTGTTGCAGAAGAATAATCAATATGTCAATATGCTAAAGACAGAAATATATGTACTCACAATTACCACCACAGAATATTAATATTACATGTTATATAGTAATATTGTACTTTTCAAAGCTTTGGTGAATAAAAAAATTGCTCTTAGCCAATATTTTTTATATAGAAATTTGCTCATTTTTTTTGGTTTGTAGTGATTAAACCTTTTTAACCTAAGTTCTTTCCACAAGTTTTCCTGTCTTAGAACAGTGATTGAATGATAAGAGATTTCAAAAGTCAGTCCCAGGAAACTCTATTTTGCATCTGTAATGTTTAAGCTCATAGCTATTTAATTTTTTGCACTTCGAAATACTTTCCCAGTGGAAGTAAATGTGTATGTTTTTTGAGTAATTCTGAAGAAACTTCTTGTTCCTACAGTAAGAGTTTATTGAGTGGCTACTACATAACACACCACACAGAGCAGGTGCTAGGGAATCTATAATAGATAAAGCATGAGTCTTGCCGCTGAGGAGCTCACAACCTTTGTATTTGAAATGTAAGGACCAATGATGAATAATTCCAAAGCTTAGAAGATGAATACCTCATGTACTGGAATTATAATCGTTTACTCTTTTAGTGGTGTGGGTGATATATTTTTTCTTCTTGTTTCAGCTGAAATCAGAAGCCATACAGACCTCTCATTTTCAAGGCAGACTTAATGAAGTCATTAGAACCTTAACTCAGGTGAGAAGAAGAATTTAAAATCCTTGGGTGAGGACACAGATATTCCCCCTGTGTTGTATTTCATTCTGTTACATGATACAAAGGTGTGTTACCTGGAAAATGCAGAAGTTGCTGGCTATTCATGTATTCATAGACAAACTGCACTGCCTTGCAACAAGGAAAGAGTTTTTGAATTAACGTGAGGTGGTGTTTTTTTTTTTTCCCTTAAATATTAAAGCCTGACTGTGCAAGGAATGTCAGGCCCTCAGGACAAGGAGAAGTGGAAGCTGTCAAGGGGAAAGATAGATGTCCAGGTAGAATCCTCAGGATGCTTTTCTCATTCTTATAAAATGTAGCAGATTATAATACAATATGAAACAGTTTTAGTAACTTATGCTTTTTAAAGCATACAAGTTTCTGGATAGGAGAAACTATTTTGCATGTATGCATATGAATATTCTCCAAATAACAATTTTACTAAAACTTAAGTTGATATAACTTGGAGGAAAAAAATCTATAAATAAAAATCATTGTTTATAAAATTTTTCCTGGGGTAGATCTTTAGCCTGACTGTTAAGTCTTTGGCCAAGACATCTGCATTCCACATCTGAGTGCCTGAATTAAATTCCTGGCTCTAGCTCCCTACCCAAGCATTCTCCTAATGCATACCCTAAAGCAATCTTGAGTGCTCAACTAATTGGTTTCTTGCAACCCAAGTGGGAGACCTGGATAGAATTTTCAGCTCCTGGCTTCAGCCCTGACCTTTGTGAGTATCTGAGAAGTGAACCAGCAGATTGGTACATGTTCTCTCAGTCTCTCTGCCTCTCAACTAAGTAAATAAAAGTGCTTATTATTAATCATGAAGCGTTAACAGAACATTATTGAAAGAGGAAAAAAATATCTCCTTCTGTTTTTGAAACATCTTAGTCTTAAGTAGAAAAGAGGTATGAGGATAGTTACTCTTTTCTACTTTTTGAATTTTCTTTTACCACTTTTTAAAATTTGTTTTTATTTTATTTGAAAGGCAGACACACACACACAGAATGAGGTGGGAGTGGGGGAAGATAAACAAATGGAGAGAGAAGAGAAGAGTTCATTCTCTGGTTTACTCCCTCAAATGACTGCCACACTGCAACAGCCAAAACTGTGCCAAGCTGAAGACAGGAACCAGGAACTCAGTCTGGGTCTCCCACATGGGTGTCAGGGACTGAAACACTTGCACCATCACCTGCTCCCTCCCAAAGTGCATATAATCAGGAGGCAGGACTCCAGCCTAGGCGCTTAAAACCACTGTGCCGAATACCTGTCTTTTACAATTTTTTGAGAATTACTTGGAGACAAATCTGATTCCATTAAGCCTGAGAAAACTGAGTAATTTCTGCCATGAGTGATTGATTGTGGACTCATTTGGAAAACACTAGTTGAGTTCCTGTATGACCCAAGTATAATGTACTAGGCACATGATACTAGTTTGTCATAGAACTTCTTGTTACTTTATAAAATACCAGGGACTTTCTTGTTCATTGAATGGAACTTGGATCACAGCGCCTCATTGAACTGTTATATTTTCTTCTATAGGTCATTAGTGTCTCTGGGGTGATTGGTCTTCAGTCAAATGCAGTTTGGCTTCTAGGACACCTTCATCTGTCTACACTGTCATCAAATCAAAGTAGAACCTCTGGTAAGATTAAAGTCCCTGAACACTGGAGCTGGAAGGAGGAATTGCTATCACAGGGCTCCACACTTTGTTAAGATCGTTAACAATAACCCCAAGAGTTGGATATTACCATCTCTATTTTACATCTGAAGGAAATGGGGTGTGGGGTCGCTTTCTGACCCACCAGACTCATATGGCAGTAAGTGGTGGACATGTGGCTTAAACACAGATCTGTTGACCTCCAAAATCTATGTTCATTCCGTCCTCTTCTCTGCATATCTGAGAAGATAGTTTAGTCATTCAGGTTAGGCCCCATATTTTACAATGAAGAACCTGAGGCTCAGAAAAATTTCATGACTTACGTACAGAGTTAGTTTAATGACAAACCCAGAAACTAGGAATGAGGCCCTTAAAGCTTGGTACAGACTTAAAAAATTTTTTTTACTAGATGTAATGGTAGAATGTTTAATTAAATGTCTGTTTATTTATGGCTAGAGTTTTTCTGGTCCCTGATTTTGAAAAAATTATGGGATAAGAAAATTTAGAGGTATGTACTTCCTTGACCTTAAACCTGAAATGCCAGGTTTTAATATAGCAAAGCCTTTTCTATTTCTAGATTTTTGATAAAAGCCATTTAAAAATTGCAGTTCTCACATACTTCATTTATATTTGTACTTACAGATTTTCTGAGGAAAGCATCACTTGTAGATGATGCATCTGCTCCTTGCTCTTTATAGAATTTTGACCCACAGGCTATCCTGGGTGCAGGCCAGAGAGATTCAAGTACCAAAGATTCCTCTGAAGCCTGGCCTCACATATCTACTGACAGAGATCTATTGACAGCATTACCACCAATGTGGACACTGTGATCAGTGTTCCTCTTGCTTTCCGTCACTCTGTAGTTATAGAAATACAACATTGACCCATAGCCTTCTCAGCATAGTGAACTTTAAGACTGCTGCTCGTTGTCATCTTAAAATGTGAAAAAGAAGAAAAAAAAAACTTACTCATTGGAAATTCTTGGTAATGCTAGCTTTGAAGGGCAAGACTTTCATGATGTCCTGGTAAGATATCATATTTCTGTCAGGCCTTTTCTCTTTTAAATAGGTTTTAATTCTTATATTATGAGTTACTTGCTTTGGTCCACATGTACTCAAATCAGCTAGTATTGACTCATCTTACACCCAGATTCTTCTGAACAAAATGATTGTTTGTCTGGAAAAGTACAGCTATTTGTTCCTGATGGAATTTTCCAATTGAGCCATTTATTGCAGTTAAAAAAAAAATCTCATGAAACAATTATGGAGGCCTGGGAGGAAAAGGATTTAGGAGACTCTCAGGACTCAGCTGGCATAAATGTCACTGCTTCACCGTTCCAGGTCAGCAACCACATCTGGCTATTAGCACATGTTGGTCACTTAGAGGTCTCTGCCTTAGGTAAGAGACTGATGCTATTAAAATTGGTTGTCGAATTTCCATGGTTCAAATATCTGATTCATTTTGTCCTGAGGTGCCCACTGGAACAGTGGTCTCAGCCTAGAAGCCCAGCAGACTCCTTACTGACCCTGAGGAGGTCACTGGATCGGGACTCATTGATGTGACAATGTGGAAAGGATTTTCTTAGCTACTTTCTCAAGTATTCATCCTCTGATTTTTTCAGCTTCTACTAGGTTTGCCACCATTTTAGATTTGCTTGCATTGCTTAAGTGATTACTTCAAGGCCAGTCACTTAATCTAATAGAATTAGTTGCAGCCACAGAGTGTTGTGCTGAGATTAATGGCATAAAAATCTCCGCTTTGTCTCTAGGTTGATATGGCAGAATGAGATCATTATCTTCCCTTCATTAGTCCTGCCAAGTTCACTGGTTAATTTGATTGTTTTCTATCTCCACAGTTCCTACGGACTATAGCTATTTGCCTGAAAGCAGTTTTATTAGAGCAGCAATTGGCTTCTTCGTTACAGGAGGGAAAAAAGGCAAGTGAGCACCTTTCTTTAATTTCTTTATTCTTTCTGCATGTTAAATAATTTCCTGTGTCCCAGACATTACTCTGTAGAATTAAACAAACAAACAGCAAATTGGAAGAGGAGAGTATTTTATTCTGCTCAACTGTCTTTCCATAGAGATGAGCAGGAAGCTAACTATAGGTACATAAACACTCGCTGTGTAGTCTCTTGGAAGCACTCTCTCGATCTTGGGTGGCTGTATGAAAGCCTTACTCTTCCGTCTGACCATTTTAGCTGTGTGAGTGCACATTACTTTCCCTGTCAATTTCAAGGGAGTGTGATCTAAATGAAAACACACCTGGGTGCAGTTTGTAATCGAGGATCCATCTTGGAAGTGGATCTTCTCCCTGCACATGGTATGATCATTCTGCATTGTTGGAATCACTGTGTCTCAAGTTTCTGTTTTTGGTTTGTGTTCCTTTTCTTTGCACATATTTGTCCCTTTGTGTTTCTGCTACCCACATTAGAACACAAGCAGTTTGAAGACAGAGATTGAGTGCCTTTTGCTTTTAACTGGAGCCAGAACAGTGCAGTGCAAGTTATTGAATAAATGCCCTTTCATGATACACATACACCTTTCAGAGTTGTGAGGGAAAAAAGGATTACAACTGAGCATATCATGACTCAGGAACCAGATTCATTCCTGTAATATTCTTTCCTTGATATTTGCTGATTTTGTTCTTCCTTGGTTGGTGAAGTCAGTCAGGATAATACCGGCGGCTCCGTTGTAACAAGACTTACCTAATTTTAGGAAAAAAATTTTTTTAAACAAATTATAATGAAAAGCTAGAGGAAATCTGAAGGAAGCAGCTTGATTAATGAAGGTCCTGGAAGAAAAGAATGTTACCATAGGAAGGGAAGTTAAAGGTCGTGTCATCTGTTCTCCCACTGGGTACAGTAATCCCTAGAGCTTTCAGATTATGAACTCCTTTTATACTTGGAAATAAATTTCTTTTGTAGCTGACTTCTAGAATATGTGCCATTACTCTAGGATTGTGAGTTAGCATTATTTGCTTTCACTTATCACTTATCCTCAGTAAAAGTTGATATATAGTTATGTCAATGTTGTAGTTTTATTTATAGACATATTTCACATGTAGTACACAGTTAAAAAGTTTGTCTATATTGGTAAAAATAAGTCTACTTGACCTAAGTGTCATAATCAAGGTTTTTTTTTAATTTTTAAGAAATTGAATTCTTACTAAATGAGCATTCAAAATTGCCATGCCTATAATAATAATGCTAGAAATATATATTTTGTTCTGTTTTTCATTAGGTTGCTCATCATTATTATAAAAATTTTAAATGATAATAACGTGGAATTTTTCATGAAAAAATAAAAACACTTAAGGTTAAATGTAGCATAAACTTTTTTTCTTTGTCTAGTAAATAAAATGTCATTATGTCTTTCCAGATCCATATTTCTCAGCAGAAATTAATTTCCTGTGAGTCTTTTGAGACTTCTTGCTTAATTGTAACATTTTAATAATTACACAGTCATGGCACAACAGGAAATGTTTTCCTGAAGACTAAAAAACTCAGGTGGAACCAGAAGCAGTATTACATGCTTCTTGATGAAAACTATTGTAAAATAGATGAGGTATTAAAAATGCCATATCACCAATCAGATTTTTGGCATTTTCAGGTTGTGGGAGAGGGCTGCCTTCTTGTCAGGTTTGCTGACTAGATTCAGAGGAAAATCTATTCAGCCTTACCCATTACTAATGATGACCCCAGAGGAGTGGGGGCCGTGGGAGGCTGACCTCCGCCTCCGAAGCCCATTTACAAAAACAAAACCAGACCCTGCTCTGTGGGACTAAATGGGATGACCAAATGCGGAGGTGTGCATGCAAACAAGTGTTTTCTTCTTCAATATGCTCAGCTCATTTGAATTTTAATAACTCCCTTCTGAAGCAGCTTTTGAGTTTAAATGTCTGGATGTCACTCACGAGAGCCCAGTGGGGCTGCTGATAGGAAGGATGACAACCTTGGTGAACTTTTGTGGTTTCGAGAATGAAAATCATGCTTGTGATAGGCAGAAGACAGAAAACTTTAGGGATGGCATGATCTCACTCCCTTATGTGTTACTTTTAGTATTAACAACTCTCTGGAGGAAAAAATGTAATAGGTATTTCTGATCCACACTTATGCCAGGAAGAGATTGGGCATGGTGATCTCAATTTTACCCAATCAGATTAGGGGTGATGACTCTATTTGCTTTCTGATGCTTAGGGATTTAAAAACTTTGAAAACTCACATTAGTACTCATGTGATAGAACATAGAAGATGTCTGTAGCATCCATTGACTTTATATAGGCCTACATTAGTTTTTAAAGAAGTCAGTTCATAGTTTTAAACACAACTTGGTTTCTTTGCTATAATATGCTGCACTCTCTTTTTTCCTGATAGGGCTGTCTTCTTCTATCAAATGTATTGTTGTTTAAGCCTTTGTCATCATTGTTATGTATTTCTATGGACATTTCTTGACCATGTTAGACTTAAAATATGTACTAATAATCTAATTTCTAATATCATGGAATTATTTTTTCTCTTAAAGTTTCTCTGATTTTTGTCTCTTAACTATTCTTGTTTCTGTTCTGCCCATCTCTTTTTTCCTGGTTTCTGTTCTTTGTGGTTGATCAAGCTCATGTCATGTTCAGATTTCAACAAAATATTATTTAATTCTTTTATAGAACATTTAAAGCATTTCACATGCTTAATACAAGTGATAATTTGTACATAATAAGATTATTTTTGCTATCATACTGTTGCTGAAGAATGTGATTGATATTTTCTAAGCTTGTATTTCTCATAGTAAACAATATTATACAGGAAAGTACATTTAAATCCATATAATAGAGTGATTAGGAATGACATTTCCTTCTTGATTTCCTTGTTCTTTGGTCAGTGATCTGTTTGTATAAACACTAGGAGTGTGTACATGGTATAGATGGGTGTAGCATGAGATATAACAGGGGAAAAGGAGGCTACCCAAAGGAACAGAATTATTGAAATCTGAGCATAGAATAACTGATATGAGAAATTGTCCTATGTTAAATAAGCCTATATAATATTACCACTTAGAGATAGCTACTATAGATATTCTAATATATACCCTTCTGGAGTGTGTGTATATGTATGTGTTTATGTGTTATTAAAAAAACATATTTTTTCTGATTCTTAACAATTTAATTACCCTCCATGTAAGTGGATACAATCACCATTCAACACTTTTAAAAAAAATTCTAATGCATTGCTTTCTGAGCATTTCTTAATAGGATATATTTTTGGTGGGTTTGATTTCTATTTTTTTGTGTGAGCATAATATAAATATTTGCTTAGAAAAAAGCTACCAGTTACCCCATGATTTTTTATAACTATTACCATTTTTGGATATTACTTTTATGCACATACAATTTTTACACATTTCCAAATATACATATACTTTGTATTTTTTTAATTAATGTTATAGGCATTTCCTATTTTGCTTGTATTTCCACCATGTATTATTTTAAATGACTGGATTATCTTGCCAAGTCATTGAATCAATTGATCTAATCATTCCATGATTGGCCATTTAAAAAATTTCCATTATAGTGAACAACATTAATCCCATAGCTCTCTTTTCTGCTTAAGCTTTCCTTAGGATGTATTCTCAGCTATTCGTTAGTATTTAAGAATCTGTGAATTTGGTATTTATAGGGTTGACATGTCCTTGTTGCTCTTCCAAAGGATTACACTAGTTTTCAATATGTCAATCTTCAGAGGATATACAAAACAGTATATCACAGAGATGGGCAGCTCAGAATTCAGATTGCCTGGCTTTGTCACCCACTTTCACTTCTTGCTGCTAGGTAACTTTTAGCAAGCTGTGTTAAGTCTTGGGGCTTCAGTTGTTTCTATGAAATTGAGAAAATAGTTTAATCTTTTAAACATAGTTTTTATAAAAACTATGAGTCACTTTATGTCACAGTACTTAGGAAGTAAAACAAAGAATAAGCTCCTTCTAGTTAAATATCATATTATAAAGCAAACCAATAAATGCCACAATAAAAACTAATCAGGTATAAAGTGATACCTTAATACTGCTTTGATTTGCATTTCATTGCCAGAAGTAATGAATGAATGTTTTTGTATGTATTTACTGTTCAAAGCATTGCTTATTTTTCAAATTAAGTCATCCAGTTTCTTTCTAAAATGTGTCCCTTTTTTACCTTTTGTTTTGAAACAATTTCAAACTTACAGAAAAGGTGCAAAAATGTACAAAATGTTACAAAAACCAGTTGAAAAAATGTGTCTCCTTTCTCTGACAGTAGGAAACAACTCCCAGATTTCCTTAGCAATTCCAATGATATCGTTAACAGAAAAAGTTTGCAGTGACTGTTACTCTGCACTTATAAGTCTCCTTCAATCTGCAGTCGCTCCTCAGCCTTGCTGCGGCTTTCATGACTTTCATGTGTTTTAACTTGGGAAGTCAGTTATTTTATGGAATATTCTTTAAATTGAGTTTACCTGATGTTCCTCATATAAGGGTCACGTCAATAGCTTTTTCCACGGGAATATTTCACAAATGCAGTTAAGTTCTTTTCACTACACCTTGTCAGGCAGGGCCTGATTTCCATCTGCTTCCACCGGTGAAGTTAACTGTGATCATTTGGCTAGAAAGATATATTCCAGGTTTCTCTACTATGAAGTTATTCTTTTACCTTTATCACCAATAAATATTTTATGTAAAGATATTTTTGAAATTTTATGAATGCTTTATTTTCATTATGTTTTCACCTATTAGTTTTAGGATACATAATTTTTCTTGTCTGAATTAATTTTTACTATGACCATGACCTGAAGGTGATTTTAAAAATTTCATTATGCTATCTACATTTTTGGTAGGCTTTCTGCTTTAAGGAGGAGGTCTCCTTCCTCCCTCTCCCCTCCCTTCCCTTCTTCTTCAGTGTGTACTCTTAATTTCA